AAAAAGTTATCCTAATTGGGCGCCAACATAACCCATTCCCATTGAGCCATTCAAAAAAAAAAAAAAATTAAAAATCCACGATTATAACTATTTGTGACCTAACTCCCACATAAAGGTAGGTCGGTATTTTTCTTGGTCCTATTAGCATTTGCCAACTAAAGGGGCTGCAATTTGGTGTTCCGGGTTCTTGGAAGCTAAAATCTTTGACAAAAAAAAAAAAAAAAAAAAAAAACTGAAAATACCTATAAAATCCTCACTGTGAGGAAAAATAATAATTGTTCGTCTAATTGGGCGCCAATATATGTTAGATAAACACCTTTCTTATATCGACTCGGAACAATCACATTACTAATTATTATAAAAAGGCGAAGAAAAACAATATCACAATGTTTTTAAAAAGTTCTCCTAATTGGGCGCCAACATAACCCATTCCTATTTTAGATCTTTTTCGTAGTTCTATTAGAATTTTCCAACCAAAGTGGCTGGGTTTTGGTGTACCGGGTTATTGGAGCGTAAAAAATTGTAAATTATTCGCCCTTGGCAAAAAAAAAAAAAAAAATTAAAACAAAAACTGAAAAATACGTATCCTCATTATGACGTAAAATAAAATGTGTTCGCTTAATTGGGCGCCAACATAAGTTGGATAAACAACTTTTCTTATATCCTCTCATTTTCTACCCTTCAATGTGATTATAATTAGATCATTAAAACATTTTCAAAAATCCACGATTATAATCATGTTCCGACATAGTTCCCATATAAAGGTCCCGTCCAATTAAGTTATTTTTATATGGTCCCATGATGATGATAAGTAAGAATAGTAATTATTATAAAAAAACAAAAAAAAACAGTTCGTAGTAGTCTCACTGTGAGGATAAAATGGAAATTTTCCCCTCTTTGGACGGAGAATTTTTCTCTTAAACACTCCTAGAGCTGCCTCATCTTCTTGCGCAAGTATCCGTGCTTCAGATCCATATAACAGCACGGGTAGTATCAACGTTTTGTAGAGTGTGAGTTTGGTCGGGCGGGAGTTGGCCTTGTTTCTAAACTGCTTACATAGACCATAGTTGGCCTTCTCCGAATTTGAAAACTGATGTCATTAGTTTATGGCGGTACCAAGGTACAAACCACATGCTGCCTGTATCTGTCACCAGATTTCATTATTTATCTCTACAGGAGGATGCGCCTGCACCAAAGCCTTCGGTTTGGTGTTTAACTCGTTGGTAAAATTTCCGGATTTCATTCTGACTCCTGTACATCTCGATTTGCTCACGTTTCTCCTTTTCTCCCGATAATTCTCCATCACGTTACGTGTTGCTACTGTCTGCAGAGTTGTCCAATACGCTGCGTTTTTTCACATCAGTAGAATTACGACACTCCTGATCGTACCATGGGTTTCTTGGTGGTAGTTTTTGGTACCCAAGTGTGGCTTTTGCTGCAGTTTGTAGGGAGTGTGCAATTCTTTGCCATTGTGCTTCTATACTATTATCGGGACAAGAAGTGCTTTCTTCAAGCAGGTGGATAAGTTGAGCGGAGAAGGCCTCGGGTATCTGTTGTGTTTGCAGCTTTTCGACGCCGAGTTTCCGTTTTGTGTTAGATCGCACCTTTGCTGCTACATTAAGACGGGTGCGAACCTTGGCTGCCACAAGGTAATGGTCCGAATCGATATTCGCTCCTCGGACGTCTAAAACACTGGATGAATGCCCGTCTATCACAACATGATCAATTTGATTTCTCGTTACTTGATCAGGAGAGATCCAGGTGGCCTTGTGTATATCGAGATGCTTGAATCTGGTGCTACTAACTACCATGTTTTTTGCTGCCGCGATGTCAATCAACCTCATGCCGTTGTCGGATGTTTCTTCATGAAGGCTGAATTTTCCGACGGTGGGGCCAAAGATATTTTTCTATCCGATTTTTGCATTAAAATCTCCTAGCAGAATTTTAATGTCATGGCCAGGGCAACGGTCATATGCTGTTTCAAGGCGCTCGTAAAATATGTCTTTAGTCTGTTCATCTTTATCTTCGGTCGGAGCATGGACGCAAATGAGACTGATGTAGAAGCACTTCGCTTTTATACGGATTAAAGCAATTCGCTCATCTACTGGAGTGAATCTGGACATGAGGTATTTTATTCTCCTTTTGACCATAAATCCGCAGCCAAATTCATGTCTCGTTTCATGTCAGCTGTAATACAGGGCGTAATCATCTGATTTACTTACGCCAGTCCCTTTCCATCGCATTTCCTGTAAGGCAATAATATCGGCTTTGTACTTCTTGAGTACATCCGCCAAAGCGAACACTGCGCCTGTTCTGTACAAAGTGCGGACATTCCAAGTGCAGATTCGCAGATCGAGGTCCTTTATACGTTTGCGAGGGCCGTTAACATTACGGGGGTTTGGTTTTCTTTTTCTTTACGTTTTCATAGTAGGTTAGGTTTTCCGAGAGTGGGCAACTAACCCACCTCAACCTATTTTTTATAGTTCTTATGTGTGAACTCACGGCACATATTAGCTCACTATTCCATTTCATCGGGTGATGGAATAGTGAGTGTGTCAGTGTCCACAATTGAGATGAAAGAGGGACCAAGATAAGCCTGGACTTCGCCATGTTAAAGCCAATCAGAGCCGTTGCTTGGTATCTATCATCGCCACCCATGGTGTAGGGGATAATGAGTAACACATGTTACTCATCGGCGAGTAACATGTATTATTTGTTGCACAGAGTGTCATTTATTTGCCTTTGCCTCTAATATGACCTTTTCCAGCAGGCTGCTAAAGAAAATAGTTTAGTGACTCCGATCCTTCAGGTTTCTCAAATGTAATCATTGTCGGTAAATCATCCCACCTTCTAATAATATTTATTACCAACTTTCAAACTAATTTCATTATTTCCTTAAAATATCACCAATGACGATGCTCCCTGTCAACTGGAACACCGCACCAGCAACATTATCGCCTAATCCGCAACAGTTTAACACTTTTGCACCTCTGTCAGATATGTCATTTCATTTTTGTCCAGCTTAGTACCATCGGTGTCATCCTTTGTGAACGCCAGCACTTTAATTAGTTCGGATAAATATGCGAGGCCATATTTGCCATTAGATGCACTGCAACTGCAGAGCATCTTTGCACTAATGTGTTTGTTAACCCGCCTGTTCTGTCCTACGAGTGACTGTCTTGCAACCATAAACAAACTCACCTATGACAAACTACACAGTTAATACCTCGAAGCAGTGAATGTATCAATTACCATTTCAGTAGTTATTGTGGGCTAGCAAAGCAATGGCAATGATGATGCTGTTCCATCGTGACGAAATATGCATGATACCGAGCTCAAAAACAGTTATTCTAATCTTCTTAAATTTACATTACGTGTCATTTTAGTCAATTATTGGCATCTTTATTAATACCAGGGTCTGTTTGAAAACAAAGTTCTAAGGTAAGAGTATTAGAAGGTGATAAGTGACTGTGTGAAGAAATGGGAGGCATTTAACGGAATTTAAAAAATTTGAAGGCTAAACCACACCCAGACCTATGTGCAAAAATTTGTTGTTCAGTACCTGGCAACGCTTCATTTCATTATCCCAACATTTATCATTGTGATAAAGAATTTGAATCCATCGATAAACGTAACTTCACTCTATTGTTCGTGATGACAACTAACAGTTTGATTTGAATCGGTTCGGAACGAATTTGTTCATTGGTACTATTCCGATAAAGAAACGTTGGGAACTAGGTCCAGCTCTTTAGCTTATATAGCTCATTTACTTAGCTGGCTTATGACAAAACGGTTGTTCCATAAGCCGATCTTAAAAAAAGATATCCAGGTCTTGTGAGCATCTCATCCTATTTGAAAGACCATTTTCCGAGATGTTGTCTTTAACTTGATCTTTCCATCGGATTCGTGGCTTTCCCCATCTGTGTGAACCATCACTTGGCTCGTTTTTATATGAGCTGGGGCATCTTCATCTATTCTCACAAGATGGCCTAGTTAACGTAGTCGCTGCAGCTCTATTCGTTGACTATGTCGATGTCCGAGAATAGATGGTATAGCTCATGGTTCATTCACCATCGATGCAGATCGTCCCATTGATCTTTCGGAGAATTTTTTCTAAAACACTCCAAGAGCTGCCTCATCTGCTTGCGCAAGTACCTATGCTGTTCGCATTTGCATCTCGTATGACATTTTCATTTGTGTCTCGTATGGCCATTGTCACACGATAAACAGTTACATTGTCTGAATCCTCGTTCGGTATTGAGAGGTCCTTCGAGAGGTCCTTTCCTACTTTAACTGCTGACATTGTACCAGTTAAAGTTATCCTGCATAGCTGTATTAATTTTGCAGGAATGCCAAACGCAGACATGACTTTAAACACCTCTGAATGGATAGGGTTATCGAATGCGGATTTATAGTCGACGAATAAGTGGAACGTGTCGATGTGTTTTTCATGGGTTTTTTAAGTCGTTCACACAGCACGCTGGATAGCACTTTATATGCGATGGGAATGAGACTTATTCCTCGATAGTTGGCACATATCGTCTTGTATCATTTTTTGTGCACGGGACACAGGATGCTGAGGTTCCAATCATTGGGAATGCATTCCTCTAGCTAAATTGTTCGAATGAGCTGGTGTATGCTCCTGATCAGCATCTGACCATAGGTCTTGAATAGTTCAGCTGGTAATCCATCGGCACCTGATGCTACAAAATCGACTAAATTAACAGATAATAAAATCGATCGGTCAACAGATAATAGAAAATTTAGGAAGGATATGCTTTGTTCCATAACCTAACATTTGAATTGTTTTTCTTAATAAATTTGAAAAAGTTTATCCCAGTTTTTGTGTACGGGAACAGACCTATTATTTTTGATACAATCATGAATTATATTTACGAAATGTAGACTCTTATACGTTCCAATTCAAAAGTTTATTCCTTTAAAATCGACTTAACAATTTCTTGGCTGAACCTAAATCCATATTTACATGCTTCTCCTAAATGGATGGCGCCCAAGCTGTAACATTAATGCAATTCAATACATTGAATGGTGATTTTTAAGCCCAGTACTCAGGGGATTTCATCGTTTTCTTCCTCCGTATTTAAAGATCCGCTTCTAATTCCATTGGAGGATAAAACATATGCTCCATACACCAGCACAATATAGTTGCGCCTAAAAATACCTTCTTAAGTGATTTCCGGTCTACTCCTAGACCTGACGAGATTACTTATTAATTATTTGAGATGTGATCTACATGACTGAAGTTTACTCCTAGAAAATAGGCGGTGATGATGATGGTGACAAAATTTATGGCAGACCTAGGGATAAGTAAATCGACTTTCGACTAATCGACTCTTTGTATTGAAAAGTCGAAATCGAAAGATCGAAAAGTCGACTTTTTAGTCAAAGTCAAAAATCGAAAAGTCTAAAAATCGACTTTTTGGTAAGAGGCAAAAATTGAAAAGTCTAAAAGTCGACTTTCACTCTCGACTACGTATCCCTAGGCAGACCATCATTTTAAGTCGTTTTTGGTGGCAGATAGATTTGATGTCTTAAGATATCAAGAAATTTAATAAGTGAATGTTTACCTTTAGAAAATTCGCTATTCAGCCAAGCTGAATTTGATTTTCTTTCGATCTGGCTGAATATGAGTTTCGTTTGGAAATTTACAATTGAGCATTTTCTTTGGAAAATACACTATTCAGTCCGGCTGAATGTGCTTTTCTTAAGAAATTACCTATTCAGCTAGTATAAATATGTTTTTCTGCAAAAAAAAATAACTTCTTATTCTACCTTTATAAAATTCGTTATTCAGCCAAGCTGAATTTGATTTTCTTTCGGTCTGGCTGAATATGAGTTTCGTTAGGAAATTTACTATTGAGCATTGCTGAATTTGTTTATATTAAATGATATTCCACTTAAGTTCGATTAAATACAGTTTTCTTTGGAAAATACACTATTCAGCCCGGCTGAATGTGCTTTTCTTTAAGAAATTACCTATTCAGCTAGTATGTATATGTTTTTCTGCAAAAAATCTTATTCTGCCTGCTGAATATATTTTTCTCTTCAAAATTCCGAATTCAGCTTGGCTGAATTGGTAAATATCTGCTAAGAGAATATCTTATTCACAGAGAAAACGAAATATCTAATTACAGATTCAGTTTTAGACGTTCTCTTTTTCAGAAGGTTATGTCAATACAGGAACCTATATTGGAATTATTTATTGAAAAAGTTTTCCAACCTCCGAAAAATGTGATTTTCTTTAAGAAATTACCTATTCAGGTATTCTGGTATGAATATGTTTTTCTGCAAAAAGATCTTCTTATTCTGCCTGCTGAATATATTTTTCTCTTCAAAATTCCGAATTCAGCTTGGCTGAATTGGTGAATATCTGCCAAGAGAATTCCTTATTTACAGAGAAAACGAAATATCAAATTACAGATTCAGTTTTAGAAGTTTTAGACGTTCCCTTTATAAGGAGGTTATGTCAATACAGGAACCTATATTGGAATTCTTTATTGAAAAAGTTTTCTAACTTCCGAAAAATCGGAACGTAATATTACAGCTCCATTGAACGGAATATCCGGAATATATTACCTCTATCGTGATTTCAAAAAACAGATAATTTATAGGGTCTCCGAAGAATAATTTGAGGTATAGCAAACAGAATGGCAAATTTAGTATGAAAGGTATTAAATCTAAAGATCTGGGCGACGATCCTGGCAAAATGTCCTTTGTTGCTATGTAGATGTTTGTGTGTGCTCCTGTGGAAAAAACGGCTGAGTATGAAAGGGCTACAATATGTTGGGTTTTTTTATTTTATACGTCATCAGTGCACTTGAAATGGCCATCGTGGCATTTTCTCCCCCACTATCATTGAATGGACTTGTCAACAATCATTTATACATGTTGAGGCTCCAGGCTTCATTTGAATACACTTGTCCTGACATTAAACAGCTAAGACCAAGAGTTGATTATTTCATGACGGAACATTTTAAATTAAAAATATACCTGAATAAGTTCACCTACATATGTTTCTACCCATTGACATATTCTATCATTTTCAATTCTTTGACTTCAAAACAAAAAATCTTTATTCAATTGATATTTATTAACATTTTCCCATGCCAGTCAAACGCTCTGATTTACATAAATCAACAAATATGTTGCGTGAAAATGCTGCAGGATATGCTTAATATCAATTCAGCCAAATACAGACAAATCGTTGTGTTTAACTGTGGCTTCAACATTTCTACCCCTGAGGAGTTATTGATTGTCATGGTTTAATAGTCCATCAACATAAACAAATCAAAGCAACAAGTTGTTGCTGCTGTAGTGGGAGGGCTGGAAATGGTGATGTTGATGGTGGTGACAAAATTTATGGCAGGCCATCATTTGAATTTGTTTTTGGTGGCCGAGAGATTTACAGCGATTTAAAACAAATGGACAAGGGATTTAATGAGGACATAATACTGTTTTTTGTTTTGTGTTTTTTTTTTTTAATAAGTGAAGAGATCAACATCTATCATTGGTTGCCATTAGCAGTTAAAACCTAAGAAAATTCTTATTCAGCAAGCATATAAAGTTTAAAGACTTTATGGATTTTTTAGGAAATTCCCTTTTCAGCCAAGCTGAATGTGGTTTTCTTTGGAAAATACCCTATTTAGCCAAGATGAATAGGATTTTTTATGGGAAATTTACTATTCCGCCTTGCTGAATATAATTTTTTTTCTAAAATTTTCTATTCAGTTTGGTTAACATTACTTTCTTTGGAAAATACACTATTCAGCATGGCTGAATGTGGTTTTCGTTAAGTAATTTCCTATTCAGCTTGCATGAATATGATTTTCAGCAAAAAATCTTCTTATTCCGACCTGCTGAATATTGTTTTCTTTTGAAAATTCCCAATTCAGCTTGGTTGAATATGTTTTTCTTTTGAAAATTCCCAATTCAGCTTGGCTGAATATGTTTTCTTCTTTCAAAAATTCTCTATTTAACCTTGCTGAATATGATTTTTTTTTCTTTCGAAAATTCCCTTTTCAGCTCGGCTGAATGCCTTTTTCTTTCGAAAATTCCCTATTTAGCAGCTAATCCTAAGAAACTGTTTATTCAGCAAAGAAAAAAATCTAAGACATCAAGGAATTTAATAAGTGAAAGCTTTCATTTGGAAAATTCATTATTCAGCCAAGCTGAATATGAGTTTCTTTAGAAAATTTACTATTCAGCATTGCTGAATCTGTTTTTATTAAATGATTTTCCCCTTAAGTTTGGTTAAATATAATTTTCTTTGGAAAATACACTATTCAGACTGGCTGAATGTGTTTTTCTATAAGCAATTTCTTATTCAGCTTGGAGGAATAGGCTCTTCTACAAAAAATCTTCTTATTCAGCCACTTTGAAAAAAATTTTTTTTTTCAAAAATTCCCTATTCAGCCAGGCTCAATATGTATTTCTTTCAAAAAATTCTCTACTCAGCTTGGCTGAATCTTGGTATATCTTTCGAAAATTTCTTAATCAAATTTCCTAATCAGCATAGCTGAATACAAATTTCTTTTGAAAATTTGCTATTTATATTGGCTAAATATTATGTTTTGCAATTCAGCTTGGCTGAATGTGATTTTCTTTGCTATTCAGCCCGGCCGAATATGCTTTTTATAGAAAATTTACCATTTAACAGTGGATAAGTATGCTTTTCTTTACAAAAATTTACTATTCAGCTTGACTGAATGTGATTTTCTATAGAAAATTTCCCATCCTGTCTTGCTGAATCTCACTAAAATCATTTTCAAAAATTTCCACGACTAGCAGAATTCGATTAAGAACTCCCATCATAATTGTCGTTGTTTTTGTATTGTTTTCACGGAAATAAAAATATCGGAAGTTCAAATGACAATTTTCCCATTCTCCTCCCATTTCCTAATACGCTGTGTACTACTCAACTTTGCGAATTGAATTTAAATATTTGATTTGGATTTTGTTTTTATTGTTTTATTTAACTTACAACCAACACACATTCATACATATATTCATATATTTGCTATTTTCTTTTCCTCCTTTTCTTACATCCGCATAGAACTGGAACAAACGAAAAATCGGCGAGCTGGTGGCACATCAGGCCTTTATGCTTTTCCACGTGTCGGACGCAGTGATCCAAGTCTAACAATCGGCAATGTTCACAATACCGAAGCGGAAAGTGCTGCTGCGGCAGCATTTGATGCTCTCTATGCGGGTTCATTCGAAGACTATGAAGGTGAGTATGGAAATGACGGGAGTTTGGGGGTAAAAAAGGGGGACATTTTAAAATTTCGTAAGGAAAATAATGGGGATGAAAAAGTTCATACAGGTCTTACCTGTCCAACGAAAGCCTAGATGTCTTCCTTTTTCCGCAGAAAACCTAGGATTGAGTTATTTTTCAGTATGAGGCATACAGGTCTTCTTTTCTAAAGAGAAGACCTGTCCAACGAAGACCTAAATTTCTTCCTTTATCCACAGAAGACCTGGGTAACTTCTATTGGCTATAGAAGACCAAGAACTTATTTATAGTCCATAAAAGACCTACGTGACTTGAGTGGTCTATAGAGAACCGAGATAGTTTAAGACACAGGTCTTCTATTGCTTATATAAGTCCCAGCTGTATTCTATAGTTTATTTGAGACCTAGGGGCCTTCAATTGTTTACATGAGACCTACAGGTCCTATATTGTCTCAAGGAATCTGCAGGTCTTTTGTCTCCAGAAGACCCAGTGGTCTTCTATTATCTATATGAGTCCCATAGGCCTTTTTTGCCTATATGAGACTTACAGGTATTCTACAATCCTCAGGAAGCCTAGAAGTCTTCTATTGCATCCCAAACAATTAGAGATCTTCTCTTGTCGCCAGAAGACCTAGAGGTATTTATTTTTCTATATGAGATCTAGAGGTCTTATATTGTCTCTAGAAGACCCAAAGATCTAATTTTTCCAACATGAGACCCAGAGGACTTCTATTGTCTATATGAGACCTAAAGGACTTATCTTCTCTATATGGGTCTTATTTTTTATAATTAACACCTATAGCTGTTAAATTGTCTTTAGAAAATCTGGAGGCCCTCTATTGTCTCCTGAAAGCCTTGACATCTTTTCTTATCTTCAGGAGATCTAGAGGTATACTATTGTCTCTAGATGACATAGGGGTATTGTCTCAAGAATACCTTTGGGTATTCTATTGTCTATGGAAGACCTAGAGATCTTCTATCGTTTATATTAGGCCTAGAGGTATTATAGTGTATCTGCAGGATCATTAGGTCCTCTATTGTCTACAGGAGATCTAAAGGGTTTAATTTATCTATAGGGAGCCTAAAAGTCTTCTCTTTTTTCTAGATAACGTATAGGCCTTCTTTTGCCTCAATGAGACCCAGAGGTACTCTTTTTTCTCTCTAGAAAACCTAGAGGTTTTCTTAGGTATAAATGAGATCTCCCATTGTCTATAGAAGTCTCAGATGTGTTCTATTGCCTACAGAAGACCCAGATATATTTTATTGTGTATGGTTCTCTATTGTCGATAGGATATCTGAAAGGGATTCTATTGTATATAGAAGTTTTCGATATCCTAGATAAATTCCTGAACCCAGCCATTTTTTAATTAACTAATAATCATTTACTTCTTTTGTTTTCCACAGAATATCCCAAATCCGATTTGAAACGTGCCAGCCTATTTAATGCCCCACGGGTTGGACGCATGGATCCTGAAGTCCGTAAATGGGCACGATTTTTGGCCATGCAACAATCTTTGGATAAAAGAGCTGGTCCTAGTGCCACAACTGGTGTTTGGTTTGGACCACGATTGGGTAAACGTAGTGTAGATGCCCAAAATGTTGACAACACCAAGGGACAAAAGGAAATGTATTAAGCAGCTACTACTTCATGGAAACCATGTAAAATAAATTTAAAAAAAAAAAACAAATCTGGAATAACTAAACGTTGACGACCCCGGCAAAAAAATTCTACAATGGCTATGAGCGAAATATGAACACACACACATAAACATACTTAAACACATACATTATATACAAAAATTATAACACAAAGCATTATTATATATACATAAATATTTTCTTTTTGTTGGAATATAAAGACTACTGAGAAGAGCGAAAAAAGTTAAAAAAAACAACTGAAGACATACATTCGTAATTTTACAAAGAGATCAATTTTTGAATTTTATTATGGGTTTTCAAAATAAATATTATATATTATTATTGTTAGCCTTATTATTGACCCCCCGTATTATATATTTAACAAAAAAAAACAAATTATCTACGTATATATAACGGCAAGCGATTTTTAGTCCTTAAAACCTTTAGCCTTAGTCTTCGTCTAAAGAGTTGATGTTTCCTCCTAACAACAAACACATGGGCTGGTGTGGGCTCTCATTTGATATCAGGAGAAATTAGGAAGACTGCCTTGAGCCGTTTCAAAATCGGGTATCCAATGAAAGTCCTTATATTTGATTTTTTTTTAATTTATTCTATCTGTCGGTAAACATCAACTCAAAAAAAAACTGAAATATTCGATTGTATATATTATGGTTATTATTTATAATGGCTAAAATTTTATATAGATGTATTTAAACGTATCTGCTAAGTCATATTGTTACTAATCTTATATGAATAAATATATATTTGACTATTAAAAAAACTTAAAAACAAAATTGCCACACATTAGTAAAATGAAATCAAAACTCAATAAAAAAAATAAACGATAAATCGCAAACTGAACCAAAAACAAAAAAATAATAATTGGTTTTATTGGAAATTTTCAATTTTTTTATTTTATTCTATACAGTTGAGATGCAAAAACTGCAACCAATTTCAGACTGCTGTCTGAATTTCTGAGCCAATCGTACGACAGCTGTTAAAATTATTCCAGTAACAGCTCTTTATATTAGGTGTGTCTGGTTATTTTTCCAGTAACAAATAAACAGCTGATTCAAGAAAACATTTTATCTGCGCCAAAAAAAAAACAACAAACAAAGGACAAACACAATTATTTTTATTGCATTTAATATTAAAAATAAAATGAACAATAAAAGAAAAATTGATTCCTGCATGAATACTATGCATTCTTTCGGGAACTTACCTAAAAATATAAAGAATTCCATTTTCTGTAATTTTTATACAACTTAACTTCAAATTGAACTTTGCAAATTAAAAAAATGTTTTCAATAATTTTTGTGTTTGGTCATAAAACAGCTGATCCAAAAATGGATGAGTTTGAAAATCTTACTGCATATAATTCTTTTAGTAAACTCCAGTAAGTTTGTTGTTGTTTAACTGTCAAACTTGCTCTCTCACTTGACTCTCTTTTACTGGATTTTTGGGTAAACAGACAACATTTGGTAACAATTGTTACCAAATATCGAGTAAACACAATAGGTGTGTCTGGTTACTTTTTAGTAAGATTTAGCAAATAAACAGCTGTTTCAAGAAAACATTTGATTTGCGCCAAAATAAACAACAAACAAAGGACGAACACAATTATTTGTATTGCATTTAAAATTAAAAATAAAATGAATAATAAAAGAAAAATTGATCTGGTATGTTCCCCGGGAACATTTAACCTCCCTGCATCAATACATTGCCCTCTGGAACTTGCGTAAAAATATATAAGGAATTAGTTTCTAATTTAATAAAACTTTGCATTACTTACGAATTTTCTTCCATTTTCTGTAATTAACTTCAAATTGAACTTTGCAAATTAAAAAAATGTTTTGAATAATTTTTGTGTTTGGTCACAAAACAGCTGATCCAAAAATGGCTGAGTTTGCAAAATCTTACTGAATAAAATTCTTTCAGTAAACTCCAGTAAGTTTGTTGTTGTTCAACTGTCAAACGTGCTCTCTCACTTGATTCTCTTTTACTGGATTTTTGTGTAAACAGACAACATTTAGTAACATTTAGTAACAATTGTTACCAAATATCGAGTAAACAGACAGAGCTAATATTCCTTTCGCAAATATTGAAAAATGAGCTCGGGGTAAAGCCATTGAAATTCCAAATAGTGCAAGAACTTACACCGCAACAGAAAGAAAATAGACTCAAAAAAACTGCTTCGCTTGGCCGAAATTGGTGAACTGTCGAATTTAGTTTTCTCCGGCAAGGAAATATTCGTTGTCCAGCAGTTTGTAAACAAACAAAATGATCGTGTTTACTTGTCAAAGAAGTCAGCTGAAAATGTGCACCTTCGGCCACCAGAACTTAAGCGCCCGCCATGGTGATAGCAGCAGAATTAATGTCGAATATTATCGCGAAAATATTCTGGAGAGTGTATTAAAGCCTTGAGCACGAAACATTTTGGCCGCATACCTTGGACATTCCAACAGGATCATCGCACTCAGCACGCACCACCCAAGAATGGTTAAAAAATGAGGTTCATCGCTTCATTTTCAGCGCTCATTGACCACCAAAAACTCAGGATACCAATCCGTGCCTGGAGTATTTTTGTAAAGTAAGGTTGACACTAAGAAATACCAAAGTGTCGATCACCTCAAGCAAGCGCTTCGCCGGGAATGAACCAAAATACCGCAGAGCAACATTCGGGCAGTGTCTTACGTTTTCATTGGTCATTTGAAGGCCATAATTCGTGCCAAAGGTGATCAATTCGAATAAATATAAATTTATTTTAAAATTTGATGCTATTTCCGACATTTTTTTGCTTTCATTCAATAAAATTAAAAAAAAATGTAAAAATTAGTCCCAATTTAGATTAGGCGAGTTTACTTGCGGCAAGTCTTTGTTTGTGGAGAGAGGGGCAAGGGGTATAGAAATGAAAAAAAATTGCTCGTACCGACAATTTTCTGGCATTTCGTTTTGTGTATTTCGTATTTATTGACATTTGATATATATTTAAATGTGAAAAAACAACAAATAAAAAAATATTTTGGAAACCGAATTGCCTTGTATAGACGCATGGAGCAAGTTCAAAAGAGAACGATAAAAATTGCCGCAAGTAAACTCGCCTAATATAAATCAAGACTTATGGCATTTGACTTTGTTGAAGTTTTTTATCTCACCCTGTATATTCAGATTAGGCGAGTTTACTTGCGGCAAGTTTTTGTTTGCAGGAGAGAGGGGCAAGGGGAATAGAAATGGGAAAAAATTGCTCGTACCGACAATTTCTGGCAATTCGTTTTGTGTACTTTTGTTTGTAGTGACAGTAATTTGAAATACCAATCGGTTCAGATTTAGATATAGCTCCCATATATGTTTTCGTCCGTTTTTATTGTAAATGGTGCACCATAGTCCCTATATATGTTTCGATTTGGACGTAATTTGGCATAGCGTACTGAATTGAGTCTAGAATGATGTGTGCTAAGTTTCGTGAAAATCTGTTCAGATTTAGATATAGCCTCCATATATGTATTCTAAATTTCTTTCGATTTGCGCGAAATTTTGCATAGTGTACTGAATTAAGTCTAGAATGATTTGTGCTACGCTTCGTGAAAATCGGTTCAGAGCTAGATATGGTTCTCATATACATATATTTTCTTCCGTTTTTATGTAACCCAAAGTTTATCTAATTGCCACACAATTTTGTACCATGTACTGAAGTTAATATAAAATTTCTTTGAAATCGGTTCATATTTAGATATAGCTCCAATATATATATTTTCGTCCTATTTTAGGTAAATGGTGCCCCAAACTTCCAATTTGAAATTTAGCATAGGTTGTAGAATGACATATCTATGGATTGATGTTCGGCGGTTCCCATAAATATAGATAGATAAAGATCACATATTTAAGTTCGTCCAATTTCATGTCAATGTTCCTTCGAAGAACGACGTCTATTAGAATACATATGTAGAATACACCAAAATGATGAAGGGTATAAAAAACTCTATGGTACATCTCTACTAATTGCAAACATATGTTTATTGGTAAGGAAAAGCCGTAAGAGCTTAATTTGTTTTTGACAATAATATTAGATATTAATTTCGCCGAATTATGCGTGATTTCTGTAATTGAACAAACAGTTCAATTAAGCGGGTATCGGATAATTGGTTCCTCGGTTAATTGAACAAAAAATTGTGCAAATTTTGATGTGCAATTAACCGAAAAATACTGTATTTCTTCAATTTCTTTTTTTTTAATTTCGAATTAATCTGAAACGAAACCTATTTATTGCAACTTTTACCTGAAAGAAATAAATAAAATAAACACAACTTGTTAATTTTTTATTTGAAGATAGAAACCAATAACTTCAGAGTTGTTTTGTTTTATTCACCTCATGATATCCCACCTTGTATTATTGTGCCATGAGTTCCTTTAATATGAATTTATGCCAATTGTTCTGTTCCCGAACTGCAATAATCTACTAATTTTTACTATTATCTTCGATATCATAAATGAAAAATTGTGTTGTCTCAATAATTAAAATAATTATGAGTAAATACGATTTTTCAAAACGTTTGAAACGCATGCTGAACAATGAGTGCGAAATTGTGGAAATGGAAACAAACGTTGCACGGAAATGTGCCAAACATTATGAACAAATGAGTAAGTGATAGGGAGCGGGCGGGCGAGAATGTGAGACCCACCGACAGTTCGAATAAATTTCAACAAACGTCCACCTATTTCTTTGTTTTTGTTTTCCAGCCCAATTGAAGACTATGTTAAACGCCCAGGAACATGAACTAAATCGATATAGAAATTCCGTTGATAGACTTAAACACGAAACGGAAGAATTGGAGAAATTTGTTGCGGGCGAAGAGGAGAGATTAAATTGCATTAACATAAACATAGAACGATTGCGTGGCGAAAGTAAGGAGATGGAACAACAACGTATTGTCCAAAGGAAACAAGAATTGACCAGAAGGGAATTGTAAGTCAAAAAGATTTGAAAATATTGGCTTAAGTCTAGTTTAGGGGCTCCACTCGAATCGCTTTGAATTTTTTACCATAGGTAGTCCTCCTTGAGCTGATTACAGTGATATATATTTTATGTGATGGAAATGCATATTTCCCGAGATATGGGCCTTTAAAATTTCGGAGCATATCTTGATTAAAACGGCCGTTTTACTAATGCCACAAATGCAATATGGTTATTTTAAAGCTTATAACGAGTACTTTCCCAAAAAAGCAAACATGAATTGTCGTGTTTCCAATTTAAGTAACGCGCATTCGGCCGTGGTTTAAGACTTTCACCTATGGACAGGCGCATACATGGCTACGGAAACCAAATCATTTTTTAAGAGTAATTTCAAAATCAAATTTAAGGTTTTTTGAGTAGCCAGCCTTCGGCCGGGGCTTAAGACTTTCTCCTATGGACAGGCACATATTTCAGAATCAAATTTAGGGGTTTTTGAGTATCCAAAGCGATCCGAGTGGAGACCCTAAACTAGACTTGTTTCAAAATATTACATTTTCAATATTAATTTCTGATTCGATTTCAGTATTCGTCGCATTAAAGAGACTACACAAATGTATTTCAATGAAGATGCTTTGCCCTATAGATTTCAGGGTGTTTGTCTAGAGCGTACCGAAACATCCTACGAATGGAAACCCTTTGCTGTTGATGCCAAAAAATGGTTAAATTTTCTCGATGAACAATGGAAACTGGAAAATCACGAAAATAAAGAAAACAGTGACAACAATCGAATGGATTTTTATGAAAATGCCAAACATTAGTTTTGTAAATTTTTTTATTCTTATTACATATTAAGTTAGATTATGTTGTCGTTTTAATGTTTATTTTTTAATAGCTATGTAGATGTCAATGTAAATATGTTTTTTGTTTATTTTCTATAAGGATGCAATATGTTAAGCAGGCATTTATGCACCACCCCCTCCCTTTTAACTATTCACCTTAAAAGAATATCGAAAAATTTAAAATTTTTGTTACTTATTTATTGAGACACCAAAAAAATTATTGTAAATAAATTTTAGATCATTAGTAATGAACCAAATAATGACTTGTATTTATTTAATACAATTTTTGAATTGTTCTTTTATTTAAGCGGAATGCACGAATGCCTGGAAATTGGCATAATAGACCTTCTACATCTTGCATATGTTGTGTATCCACAATAGTTTACAATATCACAAAATACATGGAAGTTTTGTTTACCGTAGGGTTGTAAATTTACATTATTTTTACAAGGATATGGAACAGTTGATTATTTTGCCACCATTTTGTTTTGGAATAAGTTGAATATAGGACGGATCGATCTGAAATTTTTACCACAGATCGCAATATCTAAGACAGATTTCACATTTCACCCATACATTGATACTACTGTTAGGATGTTTGGTATGTATGGGATGTATCGGTCTCAGTCGATGCCCCAATATCTGTGCTGCCCATTTTTGCTGTTTTAATGGTTGTAACTGCATTTACAAACGAAAGGGGCTGTTATGTGAAATTTTGGCATCTTGAACGTTGAAAAATAATTTCGAAGAAAATTATATATATTCCATGTTGTTTTAAATTTCGGGATAGACTCCATATAATGGTACTTACCATTTTGAAAAAGTGTTTCAACCGAATTGGCTATAGTTTTATATTTAGGGTTTCAGTGGGTGTAACATATTTTTCTACCAGAAATTTGCACATATAAAATTCCCGATCGATTTTAGGTATTTTGAATTCCCTACCCATGCCAAAGGGTATACAATTATTTGTCCTTCCGACGTCGTTTTTTAAGTTTCGGGATAGACTCCATATAATGGTACTTACCATTTTGAAAAAGTGTTTCAACCGAATTGACTATAGTTTTATATTTAGGGTTTCAGTGGGTGTAACATTTTTTCCTACCAGAAATTTGCACATATAAAATTCCCGATTTTAGGTATTTTGAATTCCAAACTCATGCCGAAGGGTATACAATTATTTGTCCTTCCGACGTCGTTTTTTATACCCTCAGCCTTATGGCTAATGAGGGTATATACATTTTGATGCGGCAAAAATGTGCCTCATCGAAATATTGGTTATAGAACACACGTTTCTTTGGACCAAATCCGTTTCAGACAAATCGGAGTCGATTTACAAATATCATTCCTTCCGTAATACGGAGTGATTTGACTCCAAAAACTATTTCAGTTATCCGATATTTTCAGTTAAGGGATGTTTAACTCATGCGGAGTAAATTGTGGGCGATTAACCCAAAATTTAATGGCGCAATAAATCTATTTCATTTCTCCGACATCTTAGTTAAAGGGAATCATTTCAAAATCGCTCTCAAAGTACAAAATAAATTTTTCTAGTAAAAAAATTACAAATATAATGTCATTTTGTTTTGTGTTCTCTTTTGTGTTTTGGGGGTTCAGGAACGGGTTTTTGTGTAAAAAGTTGCAAAACTGGTAAAATTTGTAGATTCCTTTAGGATAATTTTTATAGATAATTTTCAAATTGATTTTATTACAATAAGATGTGTCGGTATTAAATTTTGACTTACTTAAAAATATATACATATATAAATGCCTAGAAACAAATATAAGACCCCGATAAAACAGATAATAACCAAAGATTGTGAACATAATTAAACATAGAATAATCCATAAATAAAACCGAACTATAAGATGGTTTTATGCAACTATATCAGTAGTGAAAATTCATCAGTTCGTACTGATCAACAAATTGTCATAGCAGTAAAAATATCTATTTAAGACATAAACGGAATTGGTGAAAGTGTTATCCTTGGATATAACTTCACGAACAGAGCGTGGACAAGCTATGATAGCAGGTATACTTGCTCGGAAACAACTAAGAAAACCATTTTATTTCTGAAAAAAATCGGAAAGGCAGATTGGCTTTCACAAAAACTCATATTAAGGGGACCCCACCCATTCTCGGCTTCAAAAAATTTAATTTTGTATTTTGATTTAATTCGAGCCTACACTAATCAAGATTGTCCCTATAAATTTTCAAGTGAAAATCTCAACAATTTTTGAAGATATAGACGATTTATTGCATTAGCATCAAGTGACTGCAAAAGGGCTTCTCAAATTTTAAACACGTTTTTCTCAAAACACGTTTTTGCGAATGGCGGGCACGATAACTCAAAAACTAAGGACCCAATCGATTTCAAATTTTGGAACGTTTCTCTGTGAGTGTATAGCTATCGTATGAACTAGGATAAAGCCAATCGGTGAAGATCTTCCTTATTTTTGAACATAGTTTGTGGCCAAAAATAGGCGATTTTCCAAAAATAGCCGATTTTCCAAAAAAAAAAAACATGTTTCAACGTTCCGCCATTTTGTTAGTTGCTGTGCCATGACAAAAATCCTAGTTCATGTACTCTTTCTAACACGGTTGGAATTTTCGGATTCCGATGTTCCATTGATTAGTTATCATGCCCGCCAACAAAAATAAGGACTTTTCTTTGATAACAAAAAACAACAAAACAACAACAAAATGTTTTTCCGTTAATTGGAATTCGACTCAGTGTAGAAATATTATGTTCTCGAATGAATTAAAGTTAAATATTAAAAGCATACATTGGAACATGTCAAAGACTGGTTGTGGGAGTCAATAATCAAGGTTTTATTATTGCCAGCACAATCATCAGATCTTCACCCCAAAGAAAAATCTTTGAATGATACTCAAAATAGCAAAATCAAAAGAGATTCATAATCAAACAAACATAACCTCTTCCCTAAGGTTCAGGATGCGAGGAATAGCATATCCAAGGATCAAATTGAGCATCATATAGATTCTATGCCTCGTAGGTGTGCTGCCATAATGAAAAAAATAAATATGCTGTAGATTACTAGCAAAATTTGCTAATTTATAAGAAAACAAATCAAAATGTTGTTTTAGTTTTGAAAAAACTTTCACTATGAAATTATTTTTAAAAAAAGTTACATGTCCTTTATTCGGATTGGAATTTTTGTTGCTTAGGTTTTGGCCACCAGGGTAACATGTTTTAACATGTCTTTTATAAAACTTGTACTATATTGAATAGTCAATCCGCTATATATTACAATGAATATCGATAATTTAGTTTAACCATTTTGTCCATAGCATCCTGCATTATCTATATAGCATCCAATTTACATTATTTTTATGATTATTCATGATGATACTTTTCTTATATATGCTACTCTGATATGCTCCTCCTTTTAGTAATTGTTGATTCTCGTCGACATCTGTTTCCAAGGAACCCAGAACCCGAATTTAAAAACAAAACAAAAATATTTCTTTAAAAATATGATTTATTTAAATCAACGTAAACAAAAACACGTACATACATATAATGTATACTTATAAAAAACATTGTTTTTGAAATAAAGTAAGATTGCATAACCAAAGCAGGGGGTCCTTATTTTTGTTTCTTAATTTTGTGCATCATTTATCCCCCTCATTCAACTTAATATAATAACTAAAACTATTTAAATCCTTTGTGACTTTATAACTTTCTTTCTTCCAGCTGTACCCAATAGTCTCTTGGCGAGGTAGACAAACCACTCAAATTTGTGCTAACATCGGGCATTTTATCATTGGGACCCAAGACAAAGTTGAAGTTCTGCAACATGGTGGCGGTCATCAGGAACAGCATGTTACGGGCAAATGTTTCACCAGCACACAAACGTTTACCTAAAAAGAAACGCGAGAAAGGATTTTATTATTCTAGGTCATTGTAAAATAATCTTGATTTACACTTACCAGCTCCGAAAGGCAGTGAATGATCTTTCTTAAGGGACAATTTGCCATTTTCATCCAAAAATCTTTCAGGACGGAAGTTTTGTGGATCACCCCAGAGATTTTCGTCATTGTGCAAGGCATACAAACTGGTCATGACAAAGGTATCCTGCAGAATACATAAAGGGTGTTTATTAGTAAGTGTAAAGAAAATATTTTACAAAAGGATTAGGAAAGCCTGCAATATCCACAGCTTAAGTCTATTGACTGGAATTGTTTTGAAAAAATAAACATATGTATGTATTTATTTTGCTAGAGACATTGAGAATAGAATTTCTACGAATCTTCACTTATTCTGAGAGTTCCTAATTAAATTATTATTTCCATTTTGAACAAAGAAACGTTGAATATATTGTTATTTTCAATATATTCTTAATTGAAACGTTAAATAGCACGTGCTTAAAAAATTTTCATTCATCATCGTAATCAATTATTATTGTCAATCGTCCATCAAACTGTAACCGGGTCAGTCGCCATGCAACAGGGACTTAGCACTCAAAATGATAATGTACAAATTCAATAACAAGAAACAGTGGCTTTTCAGAAGAATAAAAAAAAAATAGAATAAACAATTCTGGAAATTTCAAACAAGCTAACAGTTTCTCCATATAAGGCCAATTACAGGCTTCTTTTTTTCAAGAAGTCAGAAAGGATACACCCTGATTATCAATTTATTAAATACTGATATGTATGTATATCACACAACAATTCTAGAATATATAAGCGAATATATAAGATTGACCCTACTTAAGGATGTTGCAAGGAGAAATACTGATCACTAAATTTGCTGACTTATAACAAAAAGTGTGAAATGGGGATATTGAAGACACATAGGTATGTATATCACACATGCTCCTCTCAATTTTTTAAATATTCTATGACCTTCATCAACTCTTTTGGATAACTCAAAAAGTAGTTTTGTTTACATTTTCCTTAAAATCTACCCCCAATCTTACCTTCGGCAAACGATAACCCATCAATTCGGTTTCAACCCGTGTACGATGTGGCACATTCGATGGCACCAATGTTTCAATTCTCAACATTTCACGAATCGACGCCTCAGTGTATGGCAAATGTTGACGATCGTCCAATGTTGGCAAACGTCCCGATCCAACAACATTATCAATTTCCTTTTGACATTCCCTCTGCACCTCGGGATGTAGTAACAAATATTGCACCAAGAATGCCATTGTCATACCGACAGCAGTACTGGCAGGGAATGTAAAATCGACCAAAGCCATAACAAATTGACTGCGATTGAATGTGGTATTGGTTTTGCCCTCCTTCTCGGCCTTCTTCATTTCCTTAATGTAGATATCGACAAAGTGACGTTCAGCCGATTCATCATAGGTGGCAATATAACGATCAACCAATTTCTCATAGAATTCATACAGATAACGATTCGATTCCATCAATTTATTGTACGAACTCCAGTTGGGGAAGATGTGACGTACCCATGGCATAATACTTAAAATTTTACCATAATCATCACCGGTACGTTGGAATTGTACACCCAAACGGATCAATTTCCACATATCAGCCTGTTCGGAGCGTGGATATCTTTCGTTGAAGAGCACTTGATATACGCTATTGGCCGAGAAGGGATTAAAGAAATAGGGCATAAGTACACGATAACCACCCTCCTTGACGAATTGATGTTCATGTGGGTATTTTGGTCCGGTGCGGATTATATGAAGCATATCACTTAATTCTTCTTGAATGATAGCTTCCAATTGATCGGAACGACGACCAAATCCGAAATCTCTGGCATAACGTAGAATGAAACGTCTTTGTTCTTCCCATTCTTGACCGTCCTTGAAGAAAATGCCTATAAAAAAGGTTTTGATTTTATTTAATGAAAATAATTTTAAATTATGGTAGTGTTAGGAAATCAACTCTGTATAAATTTAAAAATGTTACTCAATAATTTGTGAACATTTTTGCTAAATTTCGAAAAATTTAACGTTATTTACGTTTTCATAATGTGAAGTTAATTCACAATAATGGTTTTGATAGCAATGCTGAGAATCAGCTGATTTGCTGTTGATCTTCTTGGGATCAAGTTCTATATATCAGCTGCATGGCCTATAAAAAAAGTGGTTCAGGGAGACCAACTGCCTCTTAAGTGTTTGCTGTCAAAATCCATTATTGTGAATTCACTTCCATAATGAAAACATAAACAAAAGCGCCAAATTTTTGACATTAGTCTTGAGAATAAACAGCTGACATTCGCTAGCTGGATGATCATATTAATAGATCTGGATCAGCTGCTTCTCAAGTTTGTTGTCAAAATCCATTATTGTGTATTGATTTCCATTATAAAAACGTAAACATAGACCAATTTTTCACATTAGGCTTGAGGAAAAATACCTTATTAGATCTTGCCTGAGAGAAGTAAACATTCTCAACAGAAATTATTGAGCAATTGTTACTTCAAAAATAATGCTGATAAACTAAATCAAATCAGCTGATTGTCACTCTTAATGCCACAATTGAATTCTTAAAATTTGTATTATTATCGATATTGACAAAATTATAAAAAATATCAATATCAAATTGTTATGTTTTTTTTACTTCATTATACAGAGTTAATATTTTACGATATTGTTTTAATTAATTGTTTACTTACCAGCAACTTTTCTATTGGGTTCTCTGATCTGAGCGACAAACAATGATGGACGACCATTAAATTCAGGACGAGTCAAGACTTCGCGTACGGATTTTGAGTCGTGTACAACAACAATGGGATATTTACCCATGTGTAGACCAACAATATCGGATTTTAACCATTTAGAGAATTTCCAGACGGCCTTGTGCAGGTAAGTGAAATTCACCATCATCATGAACAGATAACTGCCAAAGATGGGAATGCGGGGAATTACTGAAAAGTTAAAAAAACAAATAAAGTTAATATTGTTTTAAAGTAAATTAATATATAAAAAAATCTTTGTGAAAAAATTTACATTAAAAGCTAACATTAAACGCATTTTAATAAAAAATTTCATTTATACTGTCATTTTCATTCAATATATACAATGTACTGAATATTGACAGCATATTTCTAGAGGTTTTAAAAAATATATTCTGGAACTTAAAATAATTTGAAGTAGGGAAATTAAAACGCGTTATATTCAAAATCGCGTTGAGCAAATTATAACATTGTCATTTATAACCATGTAAAATGTCAAAAAAATTACAAAATAAATTTGTATTTAAAAAATTTTTCCAACAAATTTGGACAATTAATTATTAGTTTTCACTTTACTACATTTTAGTAATATTTCTAGGAATAAAAAAATATTGGAACGAAAATAATTTGAAATAAAGAAATTAAATTCCACAATTTTCAGCAAAATCAGCTGAATGTCAAATAATTATTTTTACAAAATTCAAATGAAATGTTCACCTATTTTTTACTTAACAAAATTCTAGTAAAATATTGCAAACTGATGTTATATTTACACCGAATGTTTTTATGATAATTTATCATTACAGATGTTGGTTTCTTTGTATATGTGTCAAATAAATACATTTTGTTTAGTATTTTTATAGATTCGGGAACAGGTGTATTATGTTATAAATACTCTGGCAGAACAAGGCCTTTTAATAACGTCATCCAGGAAGATCAGCTGAATGTCAGCTGTTCTAAAATGTACTGTCAAATCACATAATAAAAACATAAATAACGTCCAAAATTTGTTTGACAGAAATAATAACGGTTTTCGCTTTCTGGGTGATAATATTGATAGGAATTTGGGGAAAACAATTTATTTCCTTCTATGACTAAAGTAAATAAAACCCTGGGAAATGTCGCTTTTATAATTTTAGGAAACAATATTTGTTTGTCCCTTTGAACTATTAAAATAATTTATAATTATTTATTGAGAATAATCATTATTTTTGTCATGCTTGTCCTGGGTAAAGTTCGTCCAAGGATATAATCTTCTCATATTATTTAAAACAGATCAGGCAAGTCTTTATATACATATTTTATTTAAAATATATTTAGACATATGAAATCCACTCCATTGCAAATGTCAATACCATAGTACGTCAATTAATAAGGTCAGGCAGGAAGATCAGCTGTTTTCAATTTTGCTGTCAAAGTCTATTATTATGACTTCACATTATAAAACGTAAACAATGTCCAAGTTTTTACATTAAACTTGAGAACAGACTTCTTTAAAAAAAACAGATGATCTTTATTAATAGACCTTGATGTACGTCAAATAAAAGTCACTGAATTTATGAAGATCATTTATTTGACATAATGAAACGGACATTTCAAATCGAATGGATTTCGTATTCAAAACAAAGTGTATCCTTTGAAATTATTAAACACTACACAAAACAATTTTCTATGTTTACATCAACAATGTTTTGAAGTACACGAGTCTTTTAATTTATCCTGTCATTTGAACAAAGGCCAAATAAATAAAAACTTTTGGTAAAACTGATAATACGTAAAACGGAATCTACATTAGAACTTTTTGCCGGGTTAACCTTCTCTATGAGGATTTAATTGACATATATGTAAAGGAATTGACATTTTCTGGATTTAATAAATTTGGTACAATGTAAACGTACTAAATATTGCTCTTTTCCAGAATCTTCTATTAACCCTTTTTTTCGAAAAAAGTTGGCAACTTTTTTGGTACGGGAATATAAACTTTGTTTATAAATGAACGTTTTTCAATTGTTCTGTAAAAACTTCAAAACAGGATACCCTGCCACATTTTAATTAATTAAATATGTTTTTTTTAATTTTATTAGGAAATTGCGAATCCTTTAAAAAATCAAAGACAATTACATATGAGGACATAAGATATATGTTAATTAATTATATAGAATTGTTATCACATATATTTTAAGGTTACTTGTTCAGTGCAAATAGTATTTTATTTTTAATGTTATACCAGAGCATACTTATAGAGCATGTTTTTTTAAAATTTTTATCAAACGTTTCATTAGATTCTTAGGACACTTTACACTCCACAGTATATTTGCAAATCTATTATTTAAAAATTCACAATTTCAACACTTTGAATATATAACGTTTTTTCATATATTTATAATGTTTTTTTAATAATATTTTCTAATAATCTCTTATTATTATTACCGGGAGGAAATCCTTTTGGTTTCGCCACGGCATATCTGTATGAGAGATATATGAACAGGCCAGCTAGACCAATTGTTAACAACGGGAAAGCCATTTTCAATCCTTAAGGATTTTAAACTATATTCACTGGAAATTTTAAATTTAATTGCAAAATTAAAGTCGCGCTTTCGCCCGATTAACTTGTTGCTGATCGGCAACTTTCAACACTCAACTGAAATCCAGATTCTATTGTCCCTTATATTTGCATTTCTGTTACCGCAAAAAAACAAACAAAAATAAATGTTAATGTTAAAATTGGCCGACGAGAGAAATTGATAACAGTCGACGAGCAATTTTGCTTTTAGCCGAAGACATTTTGTTTATTGTCTGTGCCAATTCACGATGTCTGCGTAAAAACGAAAATAAATACAATTTAAAAGGGTAGTTGTGGCGATAAGTTTGACCAGACAAGGCCGAAAATTGTATGCCCTCCATCTATGAGAAAAGAAATTAAATTTTTTTATGGATCTTAAGGTGAGAATGAAGGCAAAAAAAAAATAATGCAAAATATACAATAGTCTATATGGAAAAATGGGCGTTGCTATTATTAGGGGGATCAATGCGAAATGTTATACATAAATCCGATGGTATATTAAGTTTCTTATTTCGTTTGTAACTCATAGTAATAATTAGGAAAAAATAATTTAAAGAAAAAAATAGTGTCCTATTATAAAAATTATTATGCCTATTACGGTTTGGCAAACACTTATTACATTTATCGGAATGGGGAAAAATGTCCCACGGAAGAAACTCCCTGGTAATATTTAAAATACGATTGATTGAGTAAGGTAAAACGGCATGTACATTACAACTTTTTACCGTGTTAACCTACTTTTACCGTGATAACCTACTTTTACCGTGTTAACCTACTATATGCAATGGAATTACCAATTTAAACCCACTGGTTCAACGAAATCCATTACAATGTAAATGTACTTTAACATTCCTCTGGTACAAGATCTATTTAAAAGGTTACAGAGTAAGCGAAAATCATCTGGTTTTTCTCAATTCTAATGTCAAAAATTTGTATACGTTTTCATAATGGTGTCAATTCACAATAATGGATTTTTTTGTAAAATTTGAAATATTGTTAACCATTTACAAATTTTATTAGTAAATTAAAGGAGTGAAGAATGAATGAAGATCGATGGCCCTATGAATCAGACAGAAAAAGTGTTACATGCCAAGGTTGTATGCTCTTAACCACTTTATGTTTCTAATTATGCTGTAGATTAGAGCAGGTTCGGTTGTTGAGAAGAAGCTGAGACCCGGTAGAAAATGAGCACCCATTAGTCTGTGTCGCCTGTAAGCCAGGGCTGGGCAATGACACAGGAGATGCTCAATTGTCTCCGTCTCCTCCTTGTCAACACAGAATCTGCAGTAATCAGTTGCATCAAGATCCCATTTACTAGTAAAAGCCCTGATGTTGCAGTGACCAGTGATGATTCCCGTCATCACTCTAATTTCAGCTTTGCTCAGGTTCATTAGTGAGTGCGTTCTTTTGGTAGACAGAGTCGGCCAAATTGCTCTTGACACATTGCACCTAGGTTCGTTGTGCCAAAGTTCGCAGGTTGCTTCGTCAAAGAATGCCTAAAAATTCCCATAGAAAAAACATATGGGTGGTTTGATTGAGTCATCAGTTTCTAAATCGGTGGATTGAGTTCCTCATCTAGCTAGTTCGTCCGCTCTTTCATTACCCGAGATGTCACAATGTCCTGGTACCCAACACAACTGATATCTATGGTTAAGTTCTTCCAGAGCTGCTCTACACTTGAGGACGGCTTCGGATTTGATGTGACAAGATTTGATGGCTTTAAGAGCCGCTTGACTATCCACAAAGATAGTCATCGGTTCAACGACATCAGCATCCAGATTTTTTATCAATTCCGCTGCCTTCCAGATCGCGAAGATTTCAGCTTGGAAAAAACTACAGTTGCTATCCAGCTTGTAGGTCAACTCAAGGCCTAACCTTTCACAGTAGACGCCTGCCCCAGTACCTTCTTCCATCTTGGATCGGTCTGTATAGAAGGCCAGACCGTCCAGAGAAGGGTTACTTCGTTTTCAGTCGTCTCTACTAGGAATAACGACGTCTACATATTTATAAATACAAATTATTTAGCAATTTTAAGAAAATAGAATAGACCAGATGAATATTAGCTGACCTCTCATGTTTGTAAATTGACTTCTATTACGAAACCGTAAACAACGTCTATTATTTTGACATTAGACTTGAAAAAAAACAGCTGACTTTCGCTAGCTGGGCGACTTTATTATTAGATTATGCGTGCATTACCATACAAAATTAAATCCTTTCATTTTTTCGATTTGCTTGAAAAGTTATGCATAGCAGAGATAATTTAAGATATAATACAAAAATACATCACTTCTTCCAAATGTACCAATACTTCATGTGTCATTTGTTTACTTTAAAACTCAAAAGCCATTCAAATTCAAAATATTTGTCTAAAAAATATATAATGAATAATAACCGATATTATTGATTTTGTTTACTTGATGGAGGAGAATTCATGATGCAATAATAAGGTGATGTATCAAAAAAAACCTTTTTGTCTGAATATCTGTCAAATTTTTCCATATAATATTTCAAATGGTTGGCAACACTGCACATCGAATTCAAGTAGAACTGACCCACTTTGACAGTTAATCAAGACATCAGCTGCGCTAAATGGACTACCTATTCATTATGCCATGGGAGAATTCATATTAGGATCATGGCACAATAAATAGGTAGTCAATTTAGCGCAGCTGATCATTAACTGCTATTATTGTGCCATGATTACGATGATGAAAATTGTGGCCATCTACATGGTGTTAGAAATGTGTATGTATACGTAAATAAATAACAGCTGACTACCAAGTTTATATCATTTTAGTACTTTTCCAATAGTACGCTTACAATCAAAAATTTCAAATGTTAATCTGTTATTATTTTGTACCTTGATTTTAAAATCGAGCCGATTTATGCCATGTACAGACGAGCGTCGTTCGCTCTCTCATTCGTTGTTCGACCCCTAATTATGAAGTAATTACTTAGTTCCCCATACAAAATTTTCTGAGCGAACACCGACTTTTATAGGTTGTTCAATTCGAATCACTCTCTGAATAACCAAGAATTCTGTCCCATCCCTAACAATTGAGAGTATTTATCGAAAATAAATTAATTTTGACAGTTTGAAAATATTTATGAAATTTTCAAACTTTTTCAGTAAAATTGAAAATGATGAATGAAAAGTAACAATTTGTCTATTTTTTATATATGCAGAAGGAAGTAAATTTTGTAATCTACATAATGCAATATGCCTTTCCTTCCCTTTTTTTCTAATTAGCGTACAAAACGAGAAACAAATGTGGGGAAACCCAAACAAAAATTCTCCAATTTTTTATATGTCACATTTGAATGGAGAAAATATAAAAAATTATTCATAGCAACATTATTTTCGGAAAAAATGGAAAACATGAATTAAAAGTAAATAGATATAGGTTCATACTATAGTCAGGAGAAAGAGAATTATTTTTTCTATTTAGATCCATATGTGATTCACGCAAATATGTTAACATTTTTGTGTAAAACAAGAAACAAAAGTTTGAAATAAAAAAACTCTAATGACATGAATTAAGAATAGTGTAGTATGAACGGGTTAATTCATGTACGTAATTCTGAGAGCGAACTACGTTGTTCGAATGCCCGTCAGAACATGGCATTAGAAGGTATATTCTAAACGCACCTTTAGGAAGATAATGGTGTCTTATTAGTTGTGTCTGTTTACTCGATGTGTGTTATAGTACGTTTACATTTTACCTGATTTCGTTAACCCAGTTGATTTCAATTGCCAATTCCTTTGCATATATGTCAAATAAATCCTCATAAAGTAGGTTAACCTGATAAAAAAGATGTAATTTAAGTGTGGTGTTAAGAAGATAAAAAATTTACCTATAAATAAATTAATTTAAAAAAAATTGATGAAAAGTTAATATCGAATAACAAATTTGATTCAAGTAATCTTTTTTTGAGAGAATATTTTGCACATTGGGACACACCCCCAAAATGCTTTGAAAATACCTATTGTTGGCTACTTTTGGTGGTGATAACGTCTACGTTGGCTTATTCTAATAGTTTTCTATATATTTTGTAACAAAAATAATTCTTAAAATAAGTATTACCTTTTATGTAGAGTTTCTTTGTTACAAAAAAGAAATTAAATAAAATATGTTTTACTACAAAATTTAAATTTTACAATTTTAATCCTTAATACGCATATCCACCCTAATAAAGACATAAACGCAATTGTTTTGTTTTCTTGAGTGATCCACGCGTTTAAAATTATAGTCCAACGACAACAACTCAATACACTTGGCACGCCTATAGCAGATAGGGAGTGGAGGGGTCTCATCATTAAGCTGCACCCGATAAACCAAATTTTGTCTCGATGTTGTCTAGGTTTGAGCGTACTTGGCTTTTGAGAAGCTGATAACCACCGCTGATTATCATTCGTTTAAGTCCGCCTTTTTTGTTAGACACCCATAACAGAAATGGAAATTTCTATTGAAAACAAAAATTGATAACATCGTGGAAGTTTTTTTTAAAACAAAACCGGTATCACAGGTTTAATTTTATTATTATTATTTTTTGATTAGGATTTGGAGGCAAGGAATTATTAAGAAAAATTGCAACTCATTCCGTTTATGTATGTAAATAAAAACAAATTTTGGAAAATTGTGGTTTCAAAACGCCCCAAAAGAATGACTAGACAGAATTTTTTATTGAAAGCATTTTTATTAAGGATCGTGTGGGTTAGAATATTGAATTTATTAGTTTCTGTGATTTCTGGATTTTTTTTTTAAACCCAAACAAAAATGGCAATTCATTGTCAACTAATAAAAAAAAATAAAATTTGAGATCATTGACAATTTCATATTGATGAAAAGAATGTTTGTCTAGACAATGTTTATATAAAACTGTTTTAAAAATAAATATTTGTTTCATATAGAGTCGTAAATACTACAATTATGATTTTAAGATAAATACTAAATATTGGTAAGGATTTATTATTGCAGAATATTTCATGAACATCGAAGTGGTTTTCTTAAGTTTGTGTGTTTTATCAAATACACTCCGCGACACATGAATAGTACACCTATGTAATTCATATTAAATCACAAGTTATAAACATATATAGCAAAACAAATTTGACGTTTTAGCATTTTTTGCAACGACAGGTTAGTTCTTAAGGAGAAAAATATTTTTCGATGTGATATGAATAATGGTTGTTTAAAAGAATGCCAATGAATGTAAAACTACTGCAAATTTGGCTTTATTTTTGCGTCAGTAGAATAGGACCATGATGCAATAATAAGGCGATGTATCAAAACAAAAACATTTTTTATGACTCGATTTTCTGTCAAATTTTTTCCTTATAATATTTCAAAAAATTGGCAGCATTGCACATCGAATTCAAGTAAAATTTACCACTTTGACAGTTAATCAAGACATCAGCTGCTCTAAATGGACTACCTATTCATTGTGCCATGAATAGGACACTCTTTAAAAAAATCCATAATATGTATAGTTTGAAAATAGTTTTTATTTTGGTTTATTTTTAAAGTTACATTATTGAGATTTAAACACATTTTTGCAATATTAATAATGAGTATGTCCTCCTTTGTTAAGAACTACTTGGTACATTCTATCTGGAATGAAATCGTACAACGATTTAATGCAGTCGAGGAAAATTGTGGACCAGGCCTCTTTTATTGCATAGATAAGGTCATCTCTGTTGTTGTACTGCTTACCAGAAGCGTAAACTTTTCAACTAGCCAACCCCACACAGTTTCAATTACATTAAGGTCCGGGGAGTAAGGTGGCCAGTTAAGAAGCTTGACATTTTGGCTTCGAATCCAATACTTTACGACTCCAGCTGTATGAATCGGTGTATTGTCGTGCTGTAATATTCATTCTATTTCTCCGAAAAAAATCTGAATTGAGGAAATGTTTCCTGAAGAACATTTTTATAGCAATTTGCATTCAGAGTGGTGGTCATGAATTGCAAATCGATAGTGCCATAGTATGATATGGCCCCCATAACATTACACCACCCACTCTGCTATGCAAGCGATCCAAATAATGATTTTCTTTTCGAATATCGTGGAAATAATAATTAAAAACATCTGGCCCCTCGAAATTAAATTTTTGGTGCCTATTTGGTTTACCCGTCCAATGCGAACGACAAAATTCGAGACGTGCCTTTTTACGTGTGTCGTTAAGCGGTGGTTTCTTATTAAGTTTTATACAACTTAAAAATTGTATACAACATTCCGGCTTCTGCCAATTTTTTTTTTTTTGCGATTTGATGAATAGATAAACCAGATTCTTTGTAAGTTTTAATTTTTAGTTTTTCTTTAACATTCAATTATTTTCCTCGTCCCATTTCTCACGAATTGTAATTTAGGTTACTTTAAATACGGCAAAATTATTGACCTTCACGTTTTAACTTGTACGAAAAAACAGGAATTTAAAGCAGTGTCTTATTCAAGTGTCGCAAAAAATACTGTACTTTTACCAGAGTATCAAAACAAAATAGAAAAAAATCTCATAACGGTACATTTTCGGAACATTAAATTACACTCAATTAATGAGCGATAATCAATAAGAAAAAACAATAACAAATAATATACAATTGTACCTTTCTTTTGTAAAAACTAGCAGTCTCTTAAAAAATATTTGTGTTGTCCTATTCATGTGTCGGAAAAGTATCTGTCTGTGTTTGAAAAAAAATTATCATAATATTTGCCAAAGAAATATTTGGAAACAGATGAAAATTTTTTATATAAAATTAGTCAATGAGTTAATTTAATTTAAAGAAATTAACATTAATAAACATGAGAATTAAATTTATTTATATTTATTAAATATATTATGAATATCAGCACAGATTTGTTGATTTACTGTTTGTATGTCCAAAAACAAATATTAAAAGTAAGAAAATATATTACATATTTTTTCTCAAAAAAATATTAAGCCAAATGGCAATAACCGAAAATTTGTCTAGTAGAAAACATCTCTTATCAGCACATGCATATATATATATTGTATATTATTAATGAATGTATTATTAACACAAATAGAAGTGCATTACCCATTCATTCATTCATTTAGACAAAGAATTGTTGATACTTTCGATTTCAGATGAGGCCGCAATAAGTAAAAAAGGTCATCGTATCAATGAATTATAAAAATAAATCTAGAAAATAAAATGTAAACAAAACAGAGTTAATGTAGTGTTACTAGGAAATGCGGCATATTTACAGTAATAGTTTCATGTTTATAGTTTTTAAAACTGCAGACAGCGTGACCGATGAGATTTTTCGAAAAGTATCATTTTTGAAAAAAGTGGCAAATATATTTTGAAAAGATGGCACAAAAAGTGGCACACTATTTTGCTATTGGAAGTTACATACAAATTTTAAAATCGCACAAAAGTTTGGAGTTTTATGCAAATATATCAATATTTGAGGCGATTTTAACAAAACCCACATTGTTCTCATTCCAAGTCTGTATCACATATTTCCCCTCAACTAGAAAAACGTCGGGTCTTAGGCGCACCATCTTTTATATGGGAATGGGTACCTATATACCGATTCTCAACAATTTTGATAGGCTAAAAAATGAGACGTATTAAATTTTATCTCCTTCGAATATTTAATGTTTGGTCTGTTCCCGTACTTTCCTAATAGTAAAGCTAGTAAAAGGGAATCATTTCAAAATCGCTCTCAACAACTTTAAAAGTTCGGGAACGCAAATCTAGTAAATATGCCATAATTAGATAGGCAATACTTCAAAATCAACACAAAAGCCAATCAGAAGTTGGCATTCCTGTTTACCATTTTTACTCGGCTAAATTTCTCGAGTAAAAAGTTAACAAAGAGAACGCCATTTTGTTTTGTGCTCTCTTAAATTTGATTCAATGTTTTACCAGTTTTGTGGGTTCAGGTGCGGTGTACGAGCAATTTGTTTCAATTTCTATTCCCCTTACCCCTCTCTCCAGCAAACAAAGACTTGCCGCAAGTAAACTCGCCTAATCTAAATTGGGACATAGTATTCAAAAAATATACACACATACACAAAATATTTTATTCCATCATTTTTTGAATCATTTATATTTATTAATATTTTAAGGTTCCCTGCCTATAAAACCTATAAATATAAATTGCAACATTCTTAGTTAAATCTTGAGAACAATGTGGAGAATTAGAAATAATATTTTTTAATTTTTTGAAAATTTGCCAATCGCCATGAGTAACACTTTATTGAATTTATTTTTCATTTTATGTATTTGAAATTGATATATGAATTCCATATTAAGAAGGATTGCCATAAAATTACAAAAGCGATCATATTTAAATAACAAACTAGCATATGCCCGCTACTTCGTTAGCGAATGTGGGATATATTTAAACATGTATTAACGTCTTATTTTATTTTCATAGAAAAATTCGTATTTCAGAAAAACTACGCAATCCACACATTAATATCGACCCTAAATTAAATTTGAGTATCATTTAGTGCCAAATTTCATGATTCGAGCTCTCAATGTTCACCCAAATCCAAATTGTACCAAATATAGATTCCAAGTCTATTGGTTCACTCACAATTTAAATTGTACCAAATTTAGTACACAGTAGTACGAATTTACATACTTCCTACTTAACCCAAACCCAACAGAGTTATTTTAAATCCAAGTTCCAGGATTCCAACTATATCGGTTCACCCATAATTTAAATTGTACTAAATTTAGTACACAATAGTACCACTTTCCAAAACTTCCTACATATCCCAATCCTACACCCCCACAGTGATCCTAAATCCACCCACAATTCAAATTGTACCAAATTTAGTACACATTAGTAAACATTTTTAAAACTTCCTACATATCTCGATCTTACACTTCAACAGTGATCATGATTCTAGCTTTATTGGTTCGCCTAAAATTCAAATTGTACCAAATTTAGTACCCATGAATATAAATTGCTTAAACTGAATCCTGAGCGTTTATGAATCGTAAAGTCAGTCAATAACTTTAATCTTTTAATAGTATAGATGAAAAGAATTGACAATGTGACTACAACTATATATTTCCCAAATACGTATTTTAGTAATTTATGGTACTTCAAAATTATCCGTTTCCGTCCTTTTGGATAGTAAAAGATCCGTATAATGTTTTTTTTTTTTTTTTCATTATACCCTCAACCTTATGGTGTCCATTAAAAATGGACAGTAATATTTTTGTAATTTTGTCAGTCATAATTCTGTATGTATGGCCGGCTGGGAGCAACCGATTTCGTTGAGTTTATGTTCGAAGATGTGGAATGTCGGTTCACTCCTTCTTGTACCTCCCCCACAAAATTTTAAAAATTGTGCTAAAAATTAATATTCTAATATCATGCGAACCGAATTTCCAATTTGAACTAAACTTTGTATAACCAATTATCTTTAAGCCTACATCATGTCCAAAGATGGCACCCATTGGTCCACTATTTCTGATACTTTCCCTACAAATGGTAAAAATTTTCAATATTTTGTAAATCCCATATCAGGCGAATGGAATGTCCGATATGTAAAAAATTCAATATTTATAAATTCTATTACAATAGAATGTCCAATTTGAACTAAACTTTGCACAACTCATTATCTTTGCGAAGTCTAGACCAAGTCCGAAGATGTGACCCATTGCTCTACTTCTTCTGTACCTCGTACACAGATGGTCAAAAATTTCAATATTTATAAATCAAATATCAGGTAAATTGAATGTCAGATTCGAACTAAACTTTGCACAACCTATTATCTTTATCTAGCCTACATCTTCTGGTACCTCGCTCGCAAATGGTAAACATTTTAAATATTTGTAAAACCAAGATCATTTGTCTATCCAATATCAGTAAACCAGTGTTGGGCAAAATTAAATTGAGAGCAAGTTTGTGCGAGCGTAACTGAGAATTCACAATTAAAAACGACTGACGCAAAGAGAAAATGTGTTTACCCATCGAGCCTCAGTTACGGTAGCGTATATGGGTAAGCATGCCTGCAGTAAACAGACAACAATAAAATTTGGAAACAATTGTTACCAAATACCAAAATAATAATTCACTTCTTCCAGAACGTTCAAACGTATCAATCTTAAGGCGCGTTTAGACTATGCCTTCTACAATCGACTCGATATGTTAATCGAGGTACTAAATCCTAACTGTTTAGACTAGTATTACAATTATATAAAGTTGATTTCACAGCTGTTATTTGTTTTCGTATAAAAGCACAACATTTTTATAATTTTGATATAAAATCAGCTGACATATGTTTTGGAGACAACTATTTGAATTTTTACGTATTTTGTAGCATACTTTAAGGATAAGTACATGATGCAATAATAAGGTGATGTATCAAAACAAAAACATTTTTTTTGTCTCGATTATCTGTCAAATTTTTCCTTATAATATTTCAAAAATTTGGCAGCATTGCACATCGAATTCAAGTAAAATTTACCACTTTGACAGTTAATCAAGACATCAGCTGCTCTAAATGGACTACCTATTCATTGTGCCATGGATAAGTCATTATTTTTTGGTGCAAACACAGAGTTGTATTTGAAAGTATCTCGATTTGGCATAGAATTTTGAGCAAATCGAGATATTGAGTGGATTTAATTTTGTATGGTAAATTGAGCTCGTTTTAGCAATTAAATCGAGATAATACACTTTATCACAATAAAAGATAAATTTTGGTAGAATGCCAATCACAAAATAAATAAGTCCAAATCGAATATTTCGGGCATTAGAAGTTTTGCGTGAAATCAATATCTGAACACACAAAACTAGTAAAACTTTCAACAAAATTTAAGAGAACACAAAACAAAATGGATTTCTCTTTTCATAATTGAGCAAAACTGGTAACCTGGAAAGCCAACTTCTGATTGGCTGTTGTATTGATATTCAAGTGTTGCCATCTAATTTTAACATTTTTACATGTTTTCCGTTCCACAACTTTTTGTATTATTTTGTACTCTGAGAGCGATTTTTGAAATTTTTTACCGGGTTAATCTACTTTATGAGGATTTATTTGGCATATATTCAAAGGAATTGAAAATGTAAACCCACTGGGTTAACCAAATCCGGTTTAATGTAAACGACCTTTTACTAGCTTTAATGTTTTGAACAGAATAATTATAACTTTTAAGTAGGGATAATTATAACTTAAGAGTAGGGATACGTAGTTGAGCGCAAAAGTCGACTTTTAGACTTTTCGATTTTTGCTTCTGACCAAAAAGTCGATTTTTAGAATTTTCGATCTATCGATTTTGTCAAACCTGTTCAAAATCGATTTTCGATTTTTACCAAATAAAGCTAAATCGTTAAAAAAATTTAATTTTTTATAAGAATTGTTGCAGGAGATGAAAAAATGTTCTGGAATGTGTAATTTTTCGGCAATTTCGGTTTTGTGATAATAAACCAAAAATTTATAAAGAACATCGAAAGTCGGTCTTTGAAAAGTCGACTTTGTAATTTTCTCAAAGGTCAAAAGTCGACTTCGACTTTTAGACTTTTCAATACAAAAAGTCGATAAGTCGAAACTCGATTTACTTATCCCTAATTTAGACATACCAACACAATAGTTCCGTTCCAGAACCTAAAAGAATCTACTCATTTCACATGTTTTGCAACTTTTTACTCGAAAACCGTTCCTCAACCCACAAAACTGGTAAAACATTGAATCAAATTTAAGAGAGTACAAAACAAAAGGGCGTTCTCTTTGTAAACTTTTTACTCGAGAAATTTGGCCGAGTAAAAATGGTAATCAGGAATGCCTACTTCTGATTAGCTGTTATGTTGATTTTGAAGTATTGCCATCTAATTTTGGCATACTTACTAGATTTGCGTTCCCGAACTTTTTAAATTATTTCGTACTCTGAGAGCAATTTTGAAATGTTTCCCTTTTACTAGATTTACTATTAAAAAAATACTGGAACAGACCAAATAAACAATACTCCGTTCGAGAACCGGCATAATTACAGAAGGTAGTCTAATTTGAGAATTTTTTGATGGCAACCCTTTTTAATTTGGAACTCATCTATCAATTTTAAATTATATGAAAAACAAATTTCTTGAAATTTTGTGTATGTCGATTGGCATATTTAAAATAAATTAAACAAAAAATATTATCTAAAGCTGAACATTGCTCTCAAGATTTAACCATGGTTGTTACAACTCATAATTATAAGTTTTAGAATATTTATAAATATATAATATAAATTTATGAAAATAAATATAAATATTTATAAATATAAAGATATTTTCATTTAATTTATGAAAGCTGAATACTGTCAAAGGCAACTTCATGAAAAAATTGGAAACATATGACTGCATGAGACTACCTTGTATAATTATGCCATGGTTTAACGGTTGGCAAATGCAAAATCAAAGAAAACAAAAATTATTTGTAGGAATTTTGTGTTTTTTTTTAATTTTTTTACTTTTCAAACTATCACAGCATTGCAAAAATATTGCAAACTAATAGTTTTCGGCGCAAATTTTTAATTTTATATGGACATTAACAATAATCAGCTGATCGACATGTAAATGATGTTTAAAGGTATGTATAAACAATTACGGTGTATTTCTGGATTTCGTTAATCGAGTCGATTTAAAATCGTATATGTAAATGTAATTTTATATTTAAATAAAAACCAATAATTATATAAAAATCTATATTTATTTATAACAACGTAAACATACAAACAATAAATACATATAATGTATAATTTCAACAACTTTTTCAAAAAATAACATAACAATTTGGATTGTATCCAATCTATGGGTTCATATGTATGTACGTTGGGGAAATTTTTTAACTTCAACTTAAAATATATATTATATAATGCCTTAAATCTAAAACAAAAATCCATCTGTTTTATTTACATTCTATCTTGTACTTGTACCCAAAAGTCAGTTGGTGATGTTGTCAAACCACTCATGGTTGTATTCAAATCGGGCAGTTTATCATTGGGACCCAATACAAAGTTGAAATTTTGTGACATAGTGGCGGTCATAAGGAACAACAAGTTGCGGCCAAATGTTTCACCAGCACACAAACGTTTGCCTGCAGAAAAAGTAGTGGGAAAACGGGGTTTTATTACTGGGGATCTTTCAAAAAAATAATTGAGTTTTAAACTTACCGGCACCGAATGGCAATGAGTGATCTTTCTTAAGGCACAATTTACCATCATCATCCAAAAATCTTTCGGGACGGAAGTTTTGTGGATCACCCCAGACTCGTTCATCGTTGTGCAGAGCATACAAACTGGCCATGACAATAGTATCCTGCAGGAAAAAACAAAAGATTTAAATTGTTTTATAAGTAAAATTATTTTTTATGAGATTTAGGACAGCTCCTTGGTGTAAAAGAAAGGTAGAGACTTTTATCTTTTCTAAAATCAGTTAAAATAAAGGTAGTGGAATGGGGGAAATGATTCATTTAAGGCAAAAAAAACTGGAAGAAATGTCTCTATAGTTTTTAATTCACAATAACGTAATTTGAGCAACAGGTGATCAGCAAATCAGCTGATTTTTAAAACAAATATTTGTCAAAACCATGGCACAATGAATAGGTAGTCCATTTAGCGCAGCTAATGTCTTGATTAACTGCCAAAGTGGGTAATTTCTACTTGATTTCGTTGTGCAGTGTTGCCAACCATTTGAAATATTATATTGAAAAATTTGACAGATAATCGATACAAAAACAAATGTTGTTGTTGTGATACATCACCTTATTATTGCATCATGGTCAAAACCATGGTACAATGAATAGGTAGTCCATTTAGCGCAGCTGATGTCTTGATTAACTGCCAAAGTGGGTAATTTCTACTTGAATTCGATGTGCAGTGTTACCTACCATTTGAAATATTGTATGGAAAAAATTGACAGATAATCGAGACAAAAACAAAGGTTTTTGTTGGTATACATCACCTTATTATTGCATCATGGAATGGCCTATTAAGTTTGCTTCTTAAAAAAAATAAATGAGAAGGGCGTCCAAAATCAAATTTGACTCTGATATTCCTTTATAAATTGACATTTCATACAAAACCTTGTGTGTTTTTAACTTTACTACGATTGTATGAAAAGTTAATATAAGAAGTTGGCTATGTAAAAGAATAGAGGAGAACGGCGCCCAACCTTTAGAAATTGGCATTTAATAAAATGAAACTTATAGAAGAATACCCGAAATCTTTCTATGTTTCTACCCCTTTAAATATATGATATTTTAGGGATTTTCCCTAAGCTTCACTTTTCACCTATGAAAAGCATCACTTTCAATTTTGATTACATTGTGTTTTCTTCAATCGACATAACGTCGAGCTGTTAAGCCCACGTGCTAAGACTATATCAATTATCATAATCATTTGTAGCTGTCAATCATCCATCAAACTAGTGTCGAGTCATTCGCCAGACATAGTAAACAAAATGATATGGCAATCAAAAAATTGGACAGTCATCTCGTTGAAATAAGGTAAACAATTCGGACATTTAATGCTAGGCCCATGATGCAATAATAGGGTGTTATTTCAGAGCGAATCAGAACAAAACAGCTGTGAGATCCACTGTCAACTTTTGGTCTGTTCCTGTAATTTTTTAATAGTAAATCTAGTAAAAGGGAAACATTTCCAAATTGCTCTCAGAGTACAAAATAATTTGAAAAGTTCGGGAAAGCAAATCTAGTAAATGTGCCAAAATTAGATGGCAATCAACATAACAGCCAATCAGAAGTAGTCATTCCTGTTTACCATTATTACTCGTGGCTTGTGGGTTGAGGAACGGTTTTCGAGTAAAAAGTTGCAAAACATGTAAAAGTAGTAGATTATTTTAGGTTCTGGAACGGAACTTTTATAACCTTGTCTAAAATCAAGGTCTACACCAAGATCTATTAATAAGATCATCCAGGGAGACCAGCTAGATATCAGTTGCTTCTCACGTTTGTCAAAGTCCATTATTGTGAATAGACGTCCATTACGAACACGTAAACAAAGTCCAAATTTTTTACATTAGACTTGAGAAGAAACAGCTGACTTTCGACTCTTTTTTTTTTTGAAAAACAGCAGATTTTCATAGTCAAGATTTCTTCTGAATGCTAGAATTTTCCCTTATCATTTACGATTTCTTTTAACTATCCCTCAATTATTAAATGAAATAATTATCAAAAAATTGGTATTGAACTACAACTTACCTTTGGCAAATGATAACCCATTAAATCGGTATCAACTTTAACACGATGTGCCACATTCGATGGCACCAATGTTTCAATTCGCATAATTTCGCGAATACACGCCTCCGTGTATGGCATATCCTTGCGATCATCCAAAGTGGGGAAACGTCCCGGTCCGACAACAGTATCGATTTCCTTTTGCATTTTCTTTTGAACTTCAGGATACAACAGGAAATATTGAATCAGGAATGCCAATGTTGTACCCAAATTGGTGATGGCGGGGAATGTGAAATCAATTAAAGCCATAACAAATTGTTTGTGATTAAATGTTGTTGTGTCGGCTTTTCCCTCCTTTTCGGCCTTTTTCATTTCCTTGATATAGACATCGATGAAATGACGTTCAGCTGACTCATCATAAGTCTGTTCACATTGCGTAATCAATTTATTGTAGAAATTATAAATGAATTTATTTGCCTCCATCAATTTATTGTAACCACTGATATTGGGGAAAATGTGACGAACCCATGGCATAATACTTAAAATTTTGCCATAATCATCACCGGTACGTGTAAATTGGAGTATCATACGCATCAGTGTCCAGGTGTCAACTTGTTCGGAGCGTGGATATCTTTCGTTGAACAGGACATGGAAGACGCAATTGGCAGCGAAGGGATTAAAGAAATAGGGCAGTTGGATACGATAGCCGCCTTCTTTGACAACATATCGTTCGTGATCATATGTTGGACCGTTACGAATAAGTGAGACCATATCGCTTAATTCTTCTTGAATGGCAGCTTCCAATTGATCAGAACGACGGCCAAATCCATAATCTCTCAAGTAGCGTAAAATGAAACGTCTTTGTTCCTCCCATTCGGGGCCATCAATGAAGAAAATTCCTGCACAAAGTCAAAATATATTTTGTTATGAATCGTTTCAGCATAAAATCAAAATATATCAAAAGAAATAAAGATGTATCAGCTGTTTTTTAAGTCTGTCAAAAATATTGACTTTTTACATCAGCCAATTTGAGAAACAGCTGATATCCAGCTGGTCTCCCTGGATAGGCCTTGTCTGAAATCATGCCAAAAAGTAATTTAATTTGATAATCAACTGAAATTGATAATCAACTGAATTAATTATTTATTTTCCAGAAAAATAAAAAATTTGGAATTTTTTTATGTTCTACTAATTGGATTGAATTTAAAATTGGCAAAATCTTTTTATGGGAAATACTTTTGAATGTCAAGACTCAATCAGAAAAATTTTGACAAATGAAGTGATGATCAGCTGGTCTTTGAGTTCGCTTTTTGGGTATCCTTATTAATAGGTCTTGCTTTTATGAAGTCTAATGTCAAAAATTTGGACTTTGTTTACGTTTTTATAATGGAAGTCAATTCACAATAATGGATTTGGACAGTAAACTTAAGAGACAGTCGATATCCAGTTGGTCTCCCTGTTTGACCTTATTTGTAGGCATTGTCAGCTGCTTTTCCAGTTTCCTGTCAAAATCCATTATTGTGAATTGCTTCACAATATGAAAACGAAAAACAACGTTTACGCCAATAGGTTACCTAGGGGGATCAGCTGACACTCAAGTCTGCTGTCAAATTCCATTATTGTGAATTAGTTTCCATTATAAAAACATAAACGAAGTCCAAATTTTGGACATTAGACTTCATAAGAAACAGCTGACATTGCTTGCTGGGTGATCTTTTTAATATATCTTGGTTTCATGATTTTAATGGGAAATTTCTATCAAATCTTTGTATACATTTTTATAGATTTGTTAGGTATAGTTATTGTTCAAATTATAATGTTTATAGTTTAAAAAGTAATCCCCTTCACTTACCCTTAACATCATTATCGGGTTCACGTATTTGAGCCAAATACAATGCGGGACGACCATCGAACTCCGGACGATTCAATACTTCACGTATGGCATCTTGATTGTGCACAACAACAATTGGATATGGGCCCATGTGTAGGCCAATAATGTCGGATTTAAACCATTGCGAGAATTTCCACACGGCTTTGTGTAGATAACGGAAATTTGTTGCCATCATAAACAAATAACTGCCAAAGAATGGAATGCGGGGAATAACTGAAATAAACAAAATATGTAAACATTAGTAAACAAGTTTAAATTAGAAATAATTTAATAGTATATTTGTCAATTCACATCTTAAATTCACGATCAGCTGATGTTCAAAGGTTTGATGATATTAAATTTAGTACTCATACTAGGAGATCAGCTGTTTTCTTGAAGGTTTTACTTTGGTGTGGATCATAATGCAATAATAAGGTGATGTATCAAAACAAAAACCTTTGTTTTTGTCTCGACCATCTGTCAAATTTTTTCTTGTAATATTTAACATGGTTTCCTTTGCCTATCGAATTCAACGAATTGACAATTAATCAAGACATTCAGCTGCTCTAAATGGACTACCTATTCATTGTGTCATGGTGTGGATTATAAAGATTCTTACAGTACGGGAACAGAGCATATGCAGCTGTTAAGTCCGATTTTAAAACACTAAAATCGATTATGACTAATGTCAACCTAGTCATCTTGTCTAGAACAGATGAGTATAAGGTTAAGAAGGCGAATTCAAAGTCTTCATTGACTGTCAAATTTATTTTTTGAATAATAAATAAACAAAAAATATTTTTATTTGAAATAAAATATTCGTGTACAATCTTAGCAATACACTTTTTTAAAGATATTTGGAATTTGTAACCTGTCCTGCTTTGTATTTTACGATTAAAAAGTTGACAGCAAGAGAAGACTAATAGTACGTTTACATTTAACCGGATTTCGTTAACCCAGTGGGTTTCAATTGTCAGTTCCTTTGCATATATGTCAAATAAATCCTCATAAAGTAGGTTAACCCGGTAAAAGTTCCAATGTATATGAATTCGCCTGCCGGTTAATCTTATGAATAAAGTATAGCTGAGTATAGCTTATAAACACTTTTTATAAAATCAGAATGGAGTCATTGTGCGATTTCAGTTTAATAAAAGTATTTGATCAATGGAGATTTATTCCGTGGGAATATATTATTATGAAAACATCGGAATTTTCTTTATTATGTCAATAATACACATGACGCATTTTAAGATGTTTAATTTACGGTTCACATTATAATTGTACTATGATTGAGATCCCTTATCACAGAATATGAAAAAAATAGTCGTGGGAATATTTGACTATTATGTAATCATCGGCGTAATAAATGGCGCATTTTAAAATAGTTTACTAGACAATATGTCGTCAAAAATCAAGATCTCCATTCATGGGAATTTTAGATTATTATGCGAACAAATTCCATGTCTATAATAAATAAATTTCTTATTATCACAAAACGCGTGGTTCAAGAGTCAAACGTTTATTTGACAATTTGAATGTACATATGGTAATTTGGTAAAATAGCCAAATCATAACAAAATTTCACGGCATCTCAAATGAATTACTGTAACAATAACAATATATGTCATTCAAATAATTAATTGGATTATTACTAGGTTAATAATAAAATGTGGGAACTATGAAATTTTCGGAATAAAAACATATCCAAAAAATGTTTATATTCCTAAAAAAATCCATAGTTCAATAAAATGTAGATGACGCTAAAATTTGGAAACTGCTTTCTAAAACGCGTAATATAGCTTATCATTTATATTTTTGTTTATACAAATTTAATTTTTTGCCACACGTGTGCTGAAAATCTGATTTAAAGAAAGAAAATTATTTTTTTTTGGTTTATAGTATACTTCTGCCCCAATGAAAATCGGAAATTTAAGATCTATTCAGAATTTATATTTGTGTATTAAGTATTTAATAAAACCTAATAACTGATATGAATGGGAACCTATTTTCGTTGATCATAAGATGCCAAAGCATGGCACAATGAATAGGTAGTCCATTTAGCGCAGCTGATGTCTTGATTAATTGTCAAAGTGGGTAATTTGTACTTGAATTCGATGTGCAGTGTTGCACATGGAAAAATTTGACAGAAAATCGAGACAAAAACAAAGGTTTTTGTTGGTATACATCACCTTATTATTGCATCATGATGCCAAGCCTTTGCGTCTGAAAAATAATCAGACTGGTCAATCCATATCAAAATAAAGAAACTAATAGCGTGTTTACACTATAACTTATAAAACGGCATACACATTAAAACTTTTTACCGGGTTAATCTACTTTATGAGGATTTATTTGACATATATGCAAAGGAATTGACAATTGAAACCCACTGGGTTAACGAAATCCGGTTAAATGTAAACGTACTATAATGTTGCAATAGTCTTGCAGATTTAGATTTAACCAGATTTATAATAATTATCAACAAAAAAACATTATCCCAGATCTCGATTTATTTTAATACTAACAGTATATCTAAATACTAACAATATATGTAAAACATAAAAGTCGAATTGACAATGTATGCAATGCAATTGACAATTTAAACCCACTGGGTTAACAAAATCCTGTACAATGTAAACGTACTATAACACATGAATTTAATTGTCATCGACTGTCCTGTCCCTTGAAAACGCAGGGCTAGGCAATTCCAGGATTTCCTTAATCGTGTCTATTTAGAATCGTATATTTAAACGTGCCTTAAGAGCTTTTTTCTAGTTTGGCCTTGATGTACATTCAGATTTACGAGATCCACTCGATCTTAAATGTTAAATCCATAGCGTATAGTCAAATTTAATCCACTGGTTTTGTGAATAGGATTAACGTGACACATACGCTATGGAATTGACGTTTGGAATCGGGTGGATTTCGTAGTCATGCATATTCTTTAACGAAGGATTTGTAAAGATTTTAATTTAACTTTGGCAACAAAAAATAATAATTTGTGTTGTATTTTGAAAAGTTTTCCGAGTCTTTGTGTTTGTTTTCGATTTTCCCTTTAAAAATTTAAAAAGTTTTCCCCTTTTACACAAGCTAATAGTACGTTTACATTGTACCGGATTTATTAAATCCTGTATAACTAAATTGTCAATTCCATTACCTATATGTCAAATAAATCATCATAAAGGTTTTTGTAAATAAGCAATAAATAGCTTGTGAGGAGAATATCTCAACAAAAAATTAAGGACACTCATGAGGATCAGTGGCGAGATCAGAAACTATAGCCTTGAATGCCTACCCCTCGGCGGACAATGACATACATTCCCCACTAATAAATAGTTGTTTTATGTTTATAAAAACAACAAACAGGGATTCAGCCTGACAATTTTGCAAAAACAAAATGCAAATGTTATCCAAAAAAAAAAAAAAATAAAAAAAAAATAAATAAACCGCCAACACTACTGATTTGTATAAATTTTAAAAGAACGTTGAAAATATGTAGAAATATTTCAGGGAGTCTTATTTCTGTTGCCTTGTATTAAATGAGAGTTTATAAAGGAATATCAGATTCAAATTTCTGGCTCCTATAATAGTAAATTTACATTAGGATATATTAAATCAAGTGGATTTAAGTTGTCAATATCATTGCATAAATGTCAATGAAATCCCCATATAGGAGGTTAAAAGGTCAAAAATCTCTAATGTACCTGCCGTTTAATATAGTAAATTAAAAATCATGAAATAAAAGGAAAAAATGGTCCACGATATCAAGGATAACATTTGATATTCATAACATTCCAATTCATACATCGTTATCATTGAGACATTTTTGTCCTGTCATATGTTAGTTGTCAAATGAAATAGCATGTGTTGTACAAACTATGGTCCCCAAATAATTGCAAATTTGTGAATGAAAATGTTATCCTTAGCTTATATGCCAACGAATTTAACTAAAAATGTAGTATAATTTATGCGCAAAACTCAATTAAAATAATAATTTCGATAAAACATGTTCGATATAAATAAAATAATAACCGGCGTTTAAACGGCATTTACATTATAACTTTTTACCGAGTTCACCTACTTTATGAGGATTTACTTGACATGTATACAATGGAACTGACAAATGCAAAAGTTGGTACAATTGTACAAATTTTAGCACTATTTGGAAGTCAAAAATATAATAGCACCCCAATGACATATTTAGCACTATTTCTAAATTTTAGAAAATTATTCTCACTTAAAAGTATTATAAGTGCTTAAACATATTAAATGAATCGCCATCCCTAGCTGTTTAAACTTAGTGCCCTCTTCAAAATTTAGTATTCCCCATCAGATTGATAAATTCAGTAAAAATATTAATTATTATTTCTGAGAGAGATGATTTTTCAAAGTTTCAGGAATATTTCGGTACAGAAATTCATGTTGTTTTTAAATATTCAACAACTTGATGGCTTCCACGATTTTGGGGCTTAATTTTTTACACTCAATGATTTCGAAACTGATTCCCAAAAGTTAAGGCTCAATTCTATAATTTCAGCATTTTCAAAACCCTTGTAAAAACTGTTATTTTTGTTCTTACAATATGTACTAAAAAATATAAATAATATCAATTTCGAAATGTAGTCTGAGGATGCCAGAATGCATGTAGAAATTATTAAGTCTTCCAAAAACAACTAGTGGGTCAAAGGTGGCTGAAGTCAAAAATGAGCTAAATGAAGTTATGTTTCCTTATAAATCACAAATTTTTAGTGGATTATTATCTATTCCAGATTAATCTGCAAATGTAAAAAGGGTATTTTCATATCGAAATATAATTAAAACCAAAGAAAGGAAGATACTACATGTTTCGACGGCTTCAAATCCTATCTAAACTAAGGATTTGTTGAAGTCGTGCTTCTAACGATACATAAGAATATGTTGCAAAAAAGTTTTACTTAATTGATCATTTTAGTTCCGTTCCAGAACCTAAAAGAATCTACTAATTCTACAAGTATTGCAACTTTTTACTCGAAAACCACTACTAAACCCACAAAAGCGGTAAAACATTGAATCAAATTTAAGAGAGCACAAAACAAAATGGCGTTCTCTTTGTAAAGTTTTTACTCGAAAAATTTGGGCGAGAAAAACTGGTAACCAGAAATACTAACTTATGATTGGCTGTTGTTTTGATTTTAAAGTAAAGACATCTAATTTTGAAATGTTTACTAGATTTCCGTTTCCGAACTTTTCGAATTTTTTTGTACTCTAAGAGAGATTTTGACATTATTCCCTTTTACTAGATTTTCTATTAAAAAAGAACTGGAACAGACCATTTATATATAATACTTATAAGTACGTAGAACAAATTAATTTTTATGTACTTTTTTGTTAATTGTTAAGTGTTTATCTTATCTATGTTTATATAAAAATAATTTTTCTCTATTATTAATAACAAAAAAATACACATTTTATTAAAAATCAGTACAATTGGAATAATTTCATTTCGCATCCCTGCACTACGACAGAACTTTTTGGTGGGCTAACCTCCTCTATGAGGATTTATTTGACATATATGTAATGTCATTGGCAATTTAGATCTACTGGATTTTATAAATCCGGTACAATGTAAACGGACTATTAGGACTTTATACCGATTTAAACTCCAGTACAATTTAAATGGTCTTATTAAAAATGTTTTTCAATTATAGTATAATTATTACAAGGTAGGGCATATCTCCCATCTGATTACAATTTTTCCTCATCGTGTTTTTTCCATCAAATCAAAAATATATTTGCAATATCGTGTCAAAAAAATCAAATTAAAATATATTCAAATTTAATTAAAAAATAAAAAAGGATTCTTTACCGCTTTTTGTCCTACTGGATTTGGTGAATAAATAATATCGTTTTTCGTGTTTAGTAAGTCTGCTTTTCCACAGGCAGATTTTTATTTGGCAAATACTGAGTTTGTAGGCGAGAGGGGTGCGAGGAAGAAAAACAAAAATTTGCCTGTTCAGAATTCGCCGTACACGCAAATTCTGCTTTGCTCTGTTCGTTGAAAACAATTTTGTTGACATTTCCTTTTGAACCTATTCGCTTTACTGACACACAGCCGGCTTTTGTTTACAAACCTGTTGTTTTAATTTGTGCAAGTGAAATTTAATTTTTAATATTTGCAATTTATATAATAAAATATATAAAAAATAAATGAAATATTAAAAAATCTTTAAAATGCAAACACTTTTGACGTTTTTTTCTTTCTTTTGTACTTTGATTCGCAAATTTGGCAAAGAAAAATTTGGTAATGGAAAAGCAAGCGAAAATTTCAAAAGGGAAAACAAAAAATTTACCAAATAAAAATCTGCCTGTGGAAAAGCGGACTTAATAATATTTGATACGAAGACTTTCTGCTCAATTACAACTCTGTTGAAAAAAAATAGTCAAAATTTGTCATATTGCGAGGTACCATTGTATGGGAGCTACCCTAAATAGTAAACTAATTTTGAAATTTTTCAATACCAAATATACTAGGAGTAGTAGCAATGTTTGTGCAAATTTCAGAGCACGATCTCAAAAAATTTCAAAGCACGATCTCTAATCGTGGAGGGTAGAAAAAAACTATCTTAATATTGGGATATCGTTATGTGAATTATACATCAACAATATTGCTATGCAAGATAACGTTTGCCGAGCCCGCTAGTTATAGTATAATTATTACAAGGTAGGGCATAGCTCCCATCTGATTACAATTTTTTTTCACAAGGTGTAATCAATCAATCAAATCAAAAAAATATATTTTATGATATTTTTAATACCGTATTTTTAATATTGTGTCAAAAAAAAAAAATAAAATATATTCAAATTTAATTGAAATAAAAAATGATTCTTTGCCGCTTTTGTCTGGAAGTAATTACTCTGTGTCGTGGATGAAACAAACATTTCATGGTATTCCCTACTGGATTTTGAGAATAAATAATATCCTAAAATAATCCTTTTTCGTTTTTAGTTATGTGTTGAAAAAATGTGAAATAAACTCAACCACTTGCTGCGTATGTTTTTTTTTTGACAGAAGAAGTATACATAGTATTTTTATTATTCTCCTCAAAATGTCCTACCTTGTACTATTGAACCATAATTTTTTAGTAAGATGTTGAAGTATTATTGTACCATGATTCTTTTTTTTAAACTATAATTAATAATTGGATTATTTTAATTGACAATGTGTATTAAACGGGATTTACATTATAACTTTTTGCAGGGTTAACCTACTTTATGAGGATTTATTTGACAAATAGGTAAGGGAATTTAAACCCACTGGGTTTACTAAATCCGGTACAATGTAAACGTACTATTAATCAGGATAATATATTCCGTATTGTAAAAAATATCATCTTTTTTACGATAAAACCAGTGAAAATATGTTTAGCAATCCTGCATAAAATATCACATCAATCCTGTATATCAAATATCACATATTTTTATTCCACTTTATCCCAACAGGACTTGGAACATTTATTTTATTGCTTAGTTTCCATTGGATTGTTTGAACATGATATAAATATTAGGATATTTCACACAGCACAATATTTTCGCAAATCTATTCAACTGAGACAATCGTTTCACACATGTACGATAAATTTTCAACACCTTAAATATTTAACATTGTTTTGTTATGAATTATTATTACCGGGAGGAAATCCTTTTGGTTTCGACACGGCATATCTGTATGCGGCGTATATGAACAGGCCAACAAGACCAACTGTTAACAATGGTATCGCCATTTTTTTTTCTTTTGAATCCTTAAGGATTTCGATTTAGATTTACAGGAAATTCAATTTCAAATAGTAAATTGAGACGAATTAAACTCGCGCTTTCTTCAACCGAACACTTGTAGCTTTGCGACGATTTTCAATACTTAAATCGAATCTAATTTCATAGTCCCTTATATTTGCATTTGTCTTGTTGTGTAAAATGAATTTAAGTCTACCCGAGGGATTGATAAGAAAGTACGAGTAAAATTTTGGGACGAAGACATTTATTCTGTTATGTCTGTGTGTGTGTTGTGCAAATTATTTTCGTGTGTTTGTGTGAAATTTGAAATTTTAAAAACAATCATAATAACACGATGATAAGTGTTTACCGAACAAGGCCGACAATTTGAAGCCATCCGAAGGGAGCTTATCGATGTTCTTGTTGTGGGGGGTATTGATGATGATGACGATGTTGGAAAACTGGCCGATGGGAAATTGTTGCTATGTTTTAAAAGCAGCTACATCAAAAAAAAAAAAAAAAATTATAGACAGCATTTGAAGAAATAAATCGTAAAACAAACGTATCAAATCAATCGTCACAGGTATTTGGAGGGTATACAATAATGTGGACCAATGTTGTCAATTTGTTTTCTTTCTTATATGCGTTTTTTTTTCTTATATGGAATTATAGGATATAAGAAAGTATAAGCTCGGTGTTTTTGATAATCTTTCTTATATGCGATTTTTTCTTATATGAGATGTGCTTATATCTGATATCTACTGTATCGAAGAAAATATTAGATTCTTGCAGTGCGAGAACAGACCATAAATTGAACTGTGGCTGAAATTTGAAATAAGCATCAAATATAGTTCATTTATAGCTTGTACCTCGGTAGTGGTATTGTACCTCGGTAGTGGTACAATAATACAAGGTAGGACAACTTGAGGTGATTAACAAAATGCAACCATGTAGGTAGCGACTACTAACGTCAAATTATAATAAATAAACACAACAAGTGATTGCCTTTATTTCAAATATTTTCAAAGTGGAAAAAATTAATGGAAGGTTATGGAAGGTTTATTTTCAAAATTCAGTAGGGAATACCAAGAAATGTATGTTTTATCCATAACAATGTAATTACTTCCAGACGAACACGGTAAACAATGATTTTCATTTCAATTAAATTTGAATGCATTTCAATTTAATTTGAATTTATTTGACAAGATGTATTTTTGAAAATATGTCTTTTGAATTGAAAGAACACGCACCTTGAGAAAAAAATATAATTAGCTGGTAGCTATGCCCTACCAAGATCTAATAATAAGGTCACACAGCTAGCGAAAGTCAAAAATTTTGAATTTGTTTACATTTTCATAATGGAAGACAATTCACAATAATGGATTTTGATAGCAAACTTAACAGGCAGCAGATATCCAGCTGGTCTCACTGGACGACCTTATTAATTGACATTGTGCCCTACCTTGTAATACAGTATTTTTCGGTTAATTGCACATCAAAATTTGCACAAATTTTTGTTCAATTAACCGAGGAACCAATTATCCGAACCCGCTTACTATGAAATGTGTGGTTCAATTAAGCGTGGAAATCAATTAACCGTAGGGTCAATTAACCGAAAAATACTGTAATTAACTTTTCTCCATCGGAGGCGGTGAAACATGTTATTGCAACTCAAACCAGTCAATTCTAGTTGATATACGACTCCTGGACGAATGCATTACCGATATTGGCGGAGGAAGGGGTAAAGAGCCTTTCAGCAGCTGCAGTGATGCCTATTTATCTGTTGCTGGCTACTGTCTGTTGTAATGGAGGAAGGCGTAAAACAAATCACTGTTGTTCCTTCAGGAACCTCTGATTGAGCAATAGTGTGGCTAGCTTATGTGTCGGTTTCTGGGATTCCAGCCTCGAGACGGAAGGGGGCGTGACACAATAATTAGGCAGTACATTTACCGTACCTTACGATACGATTAAAGTGTGTAGTTTCTACTTGAATTCGAAAAAAAATAGAAAAAAATTGACAGATTGTCGACACTACTTACCATGGTACAATCAATAGGTAGTCCATTGAGAGCAGCTGATGTCTTGATTAATTGTAAAAGTGCATAATTTCTACTTGAATTCGTGGAGTGTTGCCAACCACGTGAAATATTATAAGGAACAATTTGACAGATAATCGAGAAAAAAACAAAGGTTTTTGTTTTGACACATCACCTTATTATTGCATCATGCTACTTACATTACCATCCATGGCATAAATATACAAGGTAGTAGGATAGTAACTGGTAAGGAGTGTTTAGACTATGACCTACTAAATTAAGCTGTTTAGACTATTATTAAAATCATATGAAGACAGTCAGTTGATATTTGTTTATCCACATACATTACATAATAGGTATGTTCGTTTATTTTTCCAGTTACATTTACTCAGTAAGAATTTGTTAAGAGTAAAAATGAAAAAGAGAGAAAATTGAAAAAAAAAATAATAAAAATAAAACCAACAACATCTAGTAAAAAGGTTGTACCAGTACAGCTTTTTACAACAACAAAAAATTTGACACGAATAAAAATGTGTCATTTTTATTTCGAAAAATGAATAGCAAGTGATCTGTTTCCGTATTGCAAGAACCTACCGATATCATAAAGGAAAATTCGTTATCATAGTAAAAAGTATTAGATTCTTTCAGTACGGGAGCAGATCAATGATAACATATGTTATTTGAATTATTTATTTATTTTAATTTCTATTCGTGTCTGCTTTGTCAATTTTAATATTTATAGAAACAAAATCAACTTTACCATCCATTGAAGTTGTTTGTAAACAAATTGTTTTACTTGTTTACGAATCGTAACAAAACAGCTGATAAAATATCAGCTTATGTTACTGGAAATATTTACTGTGTAAATTTTCCCAGTACTGATTTGCAAATACTCCGTATTTGTACAAATTATTTATTCAAATTTAAATGAAATCAAAATGATTTGTTACCGCTTTCATCTGGTAATAATTACTTTGCTGTGGATGAAAAAAGACAAAAAGAAAATCATAGTCTTTCATTCATTCATCACCTTCCTATAGTACGTTTACATTTAACCGGATTTCGTTAACCCACTGGGTTTCAATTGTCAATTCCTTTGAATATATGTCAAATAAATCCTCATAAAGTAGGTTAACCCGATAAAAAGTTATAATGTATATGCCGTTTTAGTTATGTGATGAAAAATGTCAAATAACACAGAACCCAAGGTATGTTAATAAGGTAACCGTATCATGGCAGCTGATGGTAACATTATATGTCAAATAAATATTTTTTATTTGAATTTGCCGTAGGTAGAAAGAAAAAATACCATACAAAATTGTTTGAAATATATATTTTAAAATCGTCATATAAGAATGAGAGTGTGTATTCTTTGCATAAAGAAAGATGTTATGGGCAAAGTGAAGTTTTTATTTGTTCTCTGAACTCAATTTGGTTGCTGAATAAAATTTCGTCTCAATCGGGTAAACATAGGGACTTTAGTAAAACATTGATATAATCAGACGAAGCAACATATGGTAGCTATATTTAAATCTGAAGCTATATTCACCAATTTCAATAGGACGCGTCCTTGGGCCAAATAGAAGAGATGTACCAAATTTCATCAATGTACTTTTTTACAATAACAGACGTACATATCTTAAAAGGTATTATGGGTACAACTCATTTTCTTTTGCATGTTACAAACATATGCACAACGACGTAATACCCAGTACCACAATGTGGAGAAGGGAATAAAAGCAAAATTAGGTAAATGGTTAATGGAATGCTTAATTTTATTCAAGTATATTTCTTTACAAACAGTATTTAAAATATATAGCCACATGGTCTTCCCAGTTACAGATGCGTAGATGCTTTTAATAAGAAATAATAGATGTCAATTGGTAGAAAAAGTCCTGTAAAATTTCACACTTAGAGATGTCGAAACCCTCTTTAGAAATGTCTTATAGTACGTTTACATTTAATCGGATTTCGTTAACCCAGTGGGTTTCAATTGTCAATTCCTTTGCATATATGTCAAATAAATCCTCATCAAGTAGGTTAACCCGGTAAAAAGTTCTAATATAAATGCCGCTTAATGATTGTCGACATTTGGCTGTTACTCGTTTTGTTGTATCCTCCGCAAAAAGGGCATATTTTTCACTGAAAAGAGTTCGTTTCGTATATCCCATTTCCATATATCCGAGTGCACCAACTTTATTGCATTTTAACCGCTGTTTTGGTATTGTTTTTATTCACAGATCAGATCTCTACAGACAAAACATTAATTAAAAAACAATTAACAGTTAAAAAAATATATATTTCAAAAGTAAACAATTTTTTTTTTTTGATATTTCAAAATGCCTAAAACGGCATTTACATTAGAACTTTTTACCGGGTTAACCTTCTTTATGAGGATTTATTTGACATGTATACAATGTACAGTATTTTTCGGTCAATTGACCCTACGGTTAATTGGTTTCCACGTTTAATTGAACCACATGATTGGGCAAAAAAATATTACATAGGAAAATACATGTAGATTTTCTCGGATAATTAAACCCTGTTAATTGATTTTCCCGCTTAATTGGTTCAAAATTCATGTCATCAAAAATAAGTTTCCTTTTACTTTTCCCCGGTTAATTGCAAAATAAAAATTGAAAAATAATCTGCCATTTTTTACATAAATATTTGACATAATTTCTGAAAAATACTAGGTGGCATCTCTACTAATACAAAACTGAAAAGCGTAATTTGTAGTAGTTCCAATTATACGTGATTACTGTAATTGAATAAACTTTTCAATTAAGCGGGTTCGGATAATTGGTTCCTCGGTTAATTGAACAAAAATTTGTGCAAATTTTGATGTTCAATTAACCGAAAAATACTGTAATTGACAATTTAAACCCAGTGGGTTAACGAAATCCGGAACTATGTAAACGTACTATAATTCAGATTGGTGGATGTAATTTGCTTTGAGTTTTATATGTCATGGT